TTTATTATTCCGCCTAACGTTTGTTAATATATTCTGGAAATTTAAATAATAATAATCTTGTCATGTTCTGGTTGTTTTTTTATTTTTAAACAACTTTTTGACTTCGATTACATGTAAACGCATGTAATATTCGATCGATATAAGTATAACTCTAAAATGTTATTCCAGCTTACTTCAAATTGTACACGTAAAATTATATATGTAAATGATAGTATTCGTTTTTTTTTCCTTTACTTAATTGTTTCTAATTATAGAACATTTTATGAATATACTGGTATTATTTTGTGTATTAATTTCAATAATTTCTACTAATGATGATTACAGGTTAGGTTATTTGACTCATATAGTCTCTCTATATTGACGAGAAACTCGAACTGTAATAATTGTTTAACCCTAACAATTTTCAGATGTTCACTTTTTTTATTTAGAAAGAATGATTTTGAACGGAATATGAGTAATTTTTTTTTCGTCGTTTAAACATTTATTTAATAAAAAAAAAGTTACACGTGTATATTGCAACACCGTGTCTAAGTCAGAATATTAATATGTAATGTAATTACTTATTGACTGGCTTAGTGTCTCAAATTAAAGGGATTTTATTAGATTATAATAAGTATATATGTATGTATATTTAAAAGTAGATATGATACTAACATTTTGTAATTAGTATAGGTGATTTCTAGTTTGTACAATTGCTTACTTTATAGTTTTAAACCATTAACGATCCTCGATTTCTACTTAATATATTAATATATATTTACCAAACACTCTATAAATAAAAACCACATAGAGCTGATAACTATTAGTATTAAAATAATATAGTAGGTTATATCTCTTGTCACTAGTATTTATAATGTAAATTATACTTATAATGGTAAGTTTTATTAATGTTATTTTTTTCTGAACTAGGAAAACTAGTCTGAGATGATGCAGGGAACTTGTTTGTTGATATGAATTGTAATAGAATTGTCGTTTTATGGCTGTGTTTACTGGTACAAGAAATGCTTGGATAGTTGTCAATGTAATCGACTTAAATGAACAGTTATACTATAGCATTTCTAGAAAAATATCCAAGATTTTGTATTTAAGAACAACAATAGTTATTAAGTCGATTTTTTTTTTTTTTTTTAATGCCATGTGAATACGGGGTGAATATTACTTGGAATATTACTTAAAATTGGTTTATTTTATAAATTAAACTAACAATGCAAGGTATTTTTTTGATTATGTGTTAATTTAATGAAATTTATATGAATGCTCTGTGTTACATAATTTGAGGAAGCTTATTGATTAGTTTGCTATTATTGATGAATAAACTAGATATCTTTAAGTATTATTGTATTAGTTCATATTAGTCATCTACTTTTGGGGTGTGTTTAATCCATTCCGTGACTTGTAGTTTCCAGAAAAAGGGTTTTTATATTCATGTATTTCAGGAATATTTATTTTAAGCCCTGGATAAGGTGATGATAAAAACCACTATTCCACGTCAAGTGTTTAAATTCCATCAGCTTAACACTCGAAATCTGTTTCTGGGAAACTTAAGCTTATACTCTCCTCTGATAGTTCTAAAAAAATTCTTTCTACTGGTCACCATCTCTCAAACTGGTTAAATTAATGAACTGTGATTTATTTGTAGTATTTTAATCAATTTTTGTTTACTCGGAACATAATATTGATGTAGCTATTGAAAATTTGTAAAAATGTTTTTAATACAAGTGCTTTTATATTTATAGTTATATAAATAGAATACTTTTATTTTTCTATTACTAACAGCTTTTATACTTTTATATATTTTTACTAAAATATTGATAAAAAACCGACGGATGAAAATTATTGATCTTAGCCATTCTCGGTTTATATTTTTTCCTCCTTGTTCTGACACCTAACTTAACTGGACACTATAATTAAAAGACTTGTAATACTTATTTTTCGTCACCAATATTATATGTACTAGTTTTTAGTGTAGGGCAACGTGGACTGAATGACTCTACTCTACCTCTTAAAAATTAGTAAATCGTCGCGAAACATTGTAATACATACATGCACGTACTTACTTTGCTCACGTCATTCGTTCGTGATAATAATATTATATTGCAACTGTTCTACATTCTTTTCCACGGTTTTCTTCGTTTAATATAATATGTACCTACTGACCAAAAATGCCTATATGATGGTTTTTTTTATTACTGCGTATAGTACTTTTTATGCTAAACATCACTAATCTTTACTTAACTATATTAAAATTTTATACATTTTTGCTTTATACGTACCCTACAATCTATGTTTATACTTTGATAAATTATAATATATTAATTAAAGTATAAATAAATTATTTTTACGGCGTATACATCACGTAGTATATGCTAGATAAAGCTACAGTAAACATAACCCGCGTTTAATAAATCTTTAAATACACATACTTAATCCAATGTATACGTGTCACGTTTTAATTTTGATTTAATTATAATCAATATAGCATTTATCGCAAGGATTTTAGTTACAAATAAAAATTACAAAATTATTAAAAAAAAAAAAAACATTATCACGTCTCTGTAAATCCCATATGACTAAGCCAGTGTATTTTGAAATTGGTCTCTAAATTAGTTCAAGGTCAACTGCGGTTGTGGGTATCCAAAACACTCACACTGGAAATGGGAGACGAACCACCCACGATAAGTTCAATTTTTATCAGAATACATTTTGTTTTGTTTTTTATCTATAAAATTGCACGAAATTCATAAGTATATTATAAATATATAACCATATACAAAACTTAAAAAAAAAATGTTATTTTCACAAATATCAAATGTAAATATTTATTATTTGTTACGTTTAATTAGGGTTTAATTATAATACTAATACCATACGATGCTGTTGTGATTTTACTGCCGTATAATAATTTGGCATAAAAAAATATATTAGTAATGAATAGCTAGTTACTCAAATACTCCTTTGTGTATCGTACACAAAAAAGAATTATTGATTACTCTAAAAAACCCTATTGAATACTAATTTCCCACGTATTAAATATTATTATATCACCACTGGGTATAATATATGACGTAAATGAAAGTCGCACTGTTCCCCTTCCCTTCTTCCCGTAATGTACTAACAACCGTTTGTGATTATTATTTTTAATTTATTTTAAAAGACTTCATAATTGTATTTCTCCTTATAATCATAATTTTTTTTTTTTTTTGTACGAGTACATTGTACATAGAAATTAAATCTTAACCTTCTTTATAACTAGCTGTTGATTAATTATATTTTCACACGACATGCATTAAAAACACGGCCCAGAAAATTTACCGTAATGTTCTGAAATAATAATGAACCTGCAAATATATGTTTTGTGTATTTTTTCAACCGCATTAAACCTATGTTTTATATTTTATTTGGTTATAATTGGACACATCGTATTATTTATTACATTTTCGTCGGACTCATCCTTTCAATCCTAATTGTCTGCTATAGATAATTCATATAACTAGGGCAATGAACCGACAGGGTGGTTAGGTTTCGGGTAAGAAATTACATTCTTCTATAAACAACTATACATTGTATATAATAATGTAATGTGAGACAAAATAACGCACGTATTAAAAGATTTATAAGGGATCTATATCATTCATTGCGATGTATGTTTACTCATATATCTAAAATGATCGAATACAAGTGAAAAACACTTACCTATAATACTTCTTTGTCAATATCACATTGACACCATGGATATTGTTGTCCAGCGGTGGCGCCATTTCAGTATATATTTTTGCTGTACCTCGTTGCTATTAAACGTATTACTTTACGTAATTTAAAACTCATTATTTTACCTATGAGTTCGTTCCATTATACAATTTTAAAAAAGAAAAAAAATTTTCTAGCTAATGTGGGTACCTACCCATCCACATAAGCTATAAAAATAAAATATATAGTATTATATAATAATATCCTATATGATCATATGTATTTTTTTTTAATCATATTTGTATTTATTAATATAATATAGATAAAAATACGTAGCGTTTACATTTGACTAACACTATTATTAAATATTACGCTATTAATATGTTACCGTAATGTGTATGGTATTATAAAATATTACCTAATTAATTAAGCCGATCAGGTAGACTATATATATATTAAAAATAATGTTTTTTTTCCATCGTAACGTCACCGATTTAGAAAAAAAAATTTAATTATACTAGTTTTGTTCTCGTAAATAAAATATATATGTTCAATACACTCGGTAATTTTTTTATTACCTTTATACTATTATAAAATCATATGCAATTATATGTATTGTAAAGCGAGAGAATTATGAATAAACTTCACTTTTATTATCTATACTTATTTTTCGTAATTTGTTTTTGTTATTTTTTTGGTATTTTATGAAGTTATTCAATTATATATAATACCTTACTAAAATTAACTCTCATAATTTAAAAATATAATTTATAATTATCATTTAATTTATTGGTTTCTATGCATACGTTTTTGGAGATAATTACGATTGTATTGAAAATCAACATTTAGTAAACCTATAATTTAATTTTTAAGACTTCTACACTTTATGAGATAATTACTTTTGGGTTCTAATAGTATTATTCTGAAAGTATACAGTTGAATTCTTATATCATTATTATTGAATTATTCTTAAGAAATCAATGACAAAAATTTAAATTATTAAAGCATTTGATAATTATTTGAAAAAGTTATATTTGTTAATGAGTATCAAAATTATTGAACCGTTTTAAGTTTAATTTAATTGGTGTTATGTTCTGTTAAATATTTAAATAATCTGAGAACGGGTACTGAAAAATATTTAATTTTAAAAATCGTATGGAAAATTTATACAAATCATTATTTATGTGAATTTTGAATGAGTTATAATCGTATATTTAAAAAGAATCGTTGACGTGATCGTATTAAAATAAACATTTTAATCGTTAATTAAATACCATACCACTTTTTAATTCATTACTTTGCTTATTTTACAGACTGGGTCCATATGATCTCCAAGAGTCTAGGACTAAGATGAGTGGCGGCGCAAGCCCAAGCTCTGCGTTGCCTAAAAAGAAGAAGAAAAGCGACGCCAAGGGTCAATCTCAACTGTAAGTATATTAGATTTTATTATTTATTTAAATGAATCAGTATTATTATGTTATATAGTTTTAAAAATTACTGTATAATTGTAAAATAATAAAAATGATGAAGCAATTTCCTCAAAATAATTCTTTGGACTTACACTTCACATTACAGTAAATTTAATAAAATACAACTCCTCAAGGAAAATACATAAGTTCATTTTCTTATATTTTTTGACATTTGATGAAACAAAAAGTATTTTATGACATTAGGTATTGATTATACGTAGTGCAAAGACCTCTAACACTTAGATAATCTTACAATAAATCGTCGTATGAAATATAGCTTCATTTTATAGTCCTATACAAATAGGTATTATGCGTTATATTTAAACTATAAAATCTATAACCGAAAATATATTTATTTTTAGGTTATTCAAAACATGTTTATATTTAGTAATTTATTAGGTAATTTAGTTATTTCTATAACCAACTTATTTAGTTAAATAAAACGAAAATAAATTATTTTATACATCTTTTTTTTTTTAAATTATTTATAACATATTTACATTTTTGTGTTTTGATATGTGTGAATTACCATAAGGCATCTTAAAAATAAATTAAATTACGTATATTTCAATCATCAAATGACCCTTTGCATATTATTTTTTGTACATATCAGATAGAGTATATTTAATGTTTTTTACAGCTGTTATTATTAAATAAAGCTTTTTTTTTTGTTGGTTAAATAACTATATAATATTAATAAAACATAACAATAAAGAATTCTGGTTGCGGTGGTGGTGACAGTGGTAGGGTATTCATCATTCTTTAGTAAATCACCTTGTACGGCAGTTAGTAAATCGACGGGAAGATTTAATTATCGTTTTGGCGTAACACGACTTATTTTAGCAGCTGAGGTGGCAGGTATACCGTGGTTTTCCACCGTCACAGCCGTCTAACCGTCTGTATACCGTGCTTCAATTGCTGTCGTCGTCATTGTCGTCAAGGACACGTTTTCCCTCTTTAGCGGTGGTGGCGACAGCGCGCATACCGCACAAAGGAATTACAACCAAATAATAACAATAATATAGTTTCTATTTTCTTGTACAACCAATTCGAATGTGCGTTCGTTTGTGTGTGTGTATAAATACGTGTGTGCATGTATGAACGCGTGTAGTTCTATGAAGAATAATATATTTTGTTAACTGTTGTTGGATGAGGGGGGGGGGGTTGTTGTTGATTGATTGAAAAGGGCCTAATTAATTCTCTCTTCAAAAACATTGGGTTATTTGTGAGGTCTCTACAACTCCTCGCTTGCATCTACATAGCACTGTTTTAATGATGAAATCCATATTATGATAACCTTATATACCTAGGATACACAAGTTTGTGTATATGTGTACGACTTCTGTGTATAATAATATTTGTTAATTAATACTCTATATATTATACGTGTATAATACCATCGCAATTATTATACAATATATATAAACCCCCTTTTTAACTGTTGACAGATATTAACGAAGAAGTGGGAGAAAGGTCATTAACCATTATTATATTTTTCCGAGGTAATTCTATCGACCAAAGCAACTGCAACTCCTCGAGAAGTACTCGAATATCTGGAGGAGCCGTGTCATTAAAATAATGTACGACAATAATCAGGCGCCACACATTATTTACGTTCGAATAATTAATCTCATAAAAATTTCAAGTATCGTGACAACTATAACCATGTTGTTGTGTACCTCGGCCATTAAAAATACTTAAATATAATTTTATTACACACTCAGAATCGTATGAGTAAAATTATTTTTCGTACACGTACCGTTGTAAATTTGATATACATGTTGTATATTATATTTTCATTTAAAACGTATATCATACAAAAATGGTATAAGTACCATTATTGAGATTCAAACTCAACTGTAAATTGTTTTTAAATTTATTAGGTAATATTTATTTATACGTTCTTACATACAAAATAAACTAAAGTTTATTTTATTTTATCTAACATTTCTTATTTCTTCATATGTATCTTATAAAGTCTTAAAAATATTTTTATTTTCATTTTATATATTTATCAAACAAATTCAAATATGGCAGTAGATTATTTAAAATATGTTGTAATCACAAAATTTATAATTTAACTAGTAAAGATGTGTATACAATCCGAATATATTATTAGTTACTTTTTATTAAGTTAAAAATTTATTTATGACAACGATTTCATACAAACTTAAATGGTTACACATACATAGATAACACACTCTCACACAAATAGATGTGTATAATATATATTTATATATATGGTATATCTATGTTTAACATTGTAAACAATAATTGCGTAGTTGTATTAGTTTATATAAAATCATAATATTAATATTTAAAACTAAATTATAATTTAACTAATTAATTAAATTATTTTAATTGTTGTCTACTGTCCCCAACTGCTTAAAATTATATGTTATCTATTTGTTTCTTATGACTTCAACGACTCCTGTAATTGTTGAACAGGGTCTTACGTAATTTCTTTATGAACACGTACTTCCCTAAAACTTTTTGGGTCCCCTACAAGCTCTTTTATCCTCCTTGTAGTTTTGTGTTTATTTTTCGAACTTTTTGTTTTCACCAAAACCTTAAACTTCATTGATGCTTGTAATTTGTCAATATTTGCAACATTAAACGATAATTTTTTCTTAAAATTTCTTACATAAAATTAATCAGTAGTATTTTTAGTATAAGTTGTTAAGAAACCTTTATTGTAATGTGTAATTATCTATATCATTATCAAATTAGTTGATGTGTATTGTTTTGAATGCCAGCTTAAATATAATATATAATAGCGTTAGGATTTTAATTAGAATATTTAACTACAAGAAAAAACAAAAAAAAAATAATATATATTAAAATCAAAAATAAAATAAACAAAATTTAAAATGTATTACTATTAAAAAATTGTGATTGTAATTACTTAAAATATTCATTAAACTTTTTTATTGTATACATACATTTTTAATACTTTATAAATTAAATTTTTAGTGTTGAAATAAAAAGTTCACAATTTTTTAAAAAAATACTAAAATACCATTTTCAAAATACAATAATAGTAAATTATTGATTTAATATGGTAAATATGGTAAACTATCGTAAACATTTGGCCAACTTTCAAGTAGAAATTTCCATTATTACTTACTTATATTATTGATTCTAAATGAAAATGTATATCGAATACTAACTAATATCAAATAATATTGTTAACTTGAAAATTCTCTTTAAACATTGATCTGCTGTAAACAACTTCAAAGCAATTATTTTTCCTTGTTAATCCACGATTAAAAGGTCCAATAATGTTAATTTTTTGTTTTTGATGCAACATTATATTTTTATAATATAAATATTATTTTCAGAAATAAGTGCACTAATGAAAAACGTCGACGAGAACTAGAAAACATATACATTGAGGAACTGGCCGAGTTGATCTCAGCTAGTTTTGCGGACATGAATTCCTTGTCTGTAAAACCTGATAAGTGCGCCATTTTGCAGGAAACTGTGAAACAGGTGCGAGCCGGGGTAAGACTTTAATTTTTGTACATCCATTTTAATTTTTTTTATAGTAATTCATTATTATAATATTTAACAATGTTTACTGATATTTTACAATAATATATGAATATATACATAATATATATTATATTAAAAATATTTATTTGAAAAATGTCCACAGTTAATCAAACTAAAAAATTGTATCTAATAATTTATTTTGCTTGTTGAATAATAAGACATAAGATGAGGAAATTAAGTAACCAATATTATAGCGGAAAATAAAAAAAATAAAAAATAAATATAAACATAATTATCTATTACGTATACCTCAAAAACTAGTTGATTATCACACATTTCAATATTTTCCCAGGTGTCTTTACATATTTGAACTAAGTATATATTTATTACGTTTATTGCTTCAATCAAATAAGTATAGATGCTATTGATTATTGATAAATAATATCTTATTACAGACATGTTATAATATTTTATTTTTATTATTTTTTTCAAATTTGTACTGAAATATATTTTTACAAGTATGACTCTTATATTAATATTTTTAAAAACAATCATATAAAGAGCAATAATAATTTTACTTATAGACTATATAATTTTAGTTTATACATTTAAATGCATATATCTTACATCTAGATTGATTTTTTATTTTATGTCTATTATGTTTAAACTATATACTCAAGGGTTTATCGTCAAGTTCTTAAAGAACTTAAATTATTATTTTTGAAGAAAATAATTTATAATTGTCGTAAAAAATATTGTGATATTTTTTTATATGATTTAGAATTTATAGAATGACTTATAAAACCCATTTTTATAGCAGCTGACATTAACATAAGAAATCCATTTCAAATACAATGTATTTAACACGAATGATTAATAATAAAAAATAAAAAAATTTAGAGTACTATAAAAATATAGTAATTGAAGAAAAATATTTTAAAATAGAATTTGATTATTGTGCTTACAGGCTCATAGGATTTGCTCTGAACAAACAAAAAATTGTTTAATTAGTACAGAATCTGCTGTTCAGCAAGGTGAAGTATCTTCTTCAAAACCTACTAGATTATCAAATACTCAATTAGCACCGTTGTTACTCTCGGTATGTAGCAAATGTAATATTTTTTAATTTTTTGTTTATTATTAATTAATATTTTTTTAGGTATTAGACGGATTTTTATTTGTTGTAAACGCAGAAGGTCAAATAGAATTTGTTACAGAAAATATTCAACAATTTCTACGCTTTAATAAAGAAGAACTTCTTGGTAAGAGTGTTTATAATATTATACACCACGGTGATCACACCCGGTTTGGCTCTCTTTTAAACAAACCTTTGTTATACTACGATTCGTCAATTACTTCACCGGGTTCTAATCAATCAACAACTCCTCTTATGGAACAATCGCCTTCTGGTTCCAAAGGAAACGATTGGAATCAGAGGATTACGACAAATTTTAATTGTCGATTGTTAATCAAATCGCCATCTGATCAAGATCAAACCATTGAAGAAAAACAAACAAGCGTGTCCAAGTACGAGACATTACAGGTAACTGTTATTAACTAAAATAAATCCTATGAATTATATAATATACATAGGTATATGTACTAACTGAAATTGAAATTAATTAGATTTCGTCAACAAAAATGAACGGAAGAATGGTTGATGACGAAGAAAGCATAGATGGCAGTAGTCAGAATTTATTATGCATAGCACGTCGAGTTTCATTTGATGAAAAACATCTAAGTCCACCTTTAGAGCAATTCACCATTAAACTCGATAAACATGGCAAAATCCTAGCTTTAGACCTTAAAGATGTGTCTGAAACTTATGCTCAACACATACATAAGGTAATCAACACAAACATAATTATTTATTTATATTTATTTTAATTTATTGTTTTTAAATATTGTATATTATTATTACTGTTTACAGGATAGTTTAGTTGGCAGAATGTTACAAGACAAATGTCATAAAAATGATATAATAAAAGTCACCAATCACTTACAAGATACCCAACGATTTGGAAATAATACCAGTCCAGTCTACAAATTACACTTAGTTGAAGATAGTTATGTAAATGTTCAAACTAAATCTAAATATTTCAAAAGTAATGAAAACCATGAAATGGAAGACTTTATAATGGCAGCACATTCAATTATTGGGTAAGTTAAAAATAATTATATTATAAAGCTGTAATTCATTTATCAACTATAATTATTAAAATAGTCAACAAATTATTAAAAATACCTTGTATTTCTAAAAGTTTTGCAAATACAACATCTTGCTTTCATATTTATAAATTATAGTAATTAATTAGCTAAATGAATGCAAAATAGAATACATATTATCATATTTTAAATTTAAAAACTTATTAATTATAATAATAAGCTATCTGTTATACATAGTCTTACTTTCATTTTGATTTTATAACTACCATATTGTTAAATGCAAATCTTCTTCTTCTGGCCTATTAATACGGACCATTTAAGTCCTTTTCCGTTTCCACAGTCCTTCTCTACTGATCCCTATATATTGTCATTTCGATGTTGAAGGTGTTTATTTTGAACAGTTAACTCTTCACCGTATAAAATCATTTCTGGCATGGTCTCCCCAAAGGTCTCTTTCTAATTGGGTTCCCCACCATAATATTCCTTATGAGGCATCTTTCTACCCATTATACGTGACCCGCCCATTCTTTTACTACATTTTAATTGGCAAATTCTTGGATTACTATAAAGTCTTTGTAACTCGTCATTCCTTTTTCTTTCGAATACCACTAAATCCACTTTATACACTGGCCCATATATTTTCCTCAACATTTTCCTTTCAAAACTTGATAGTTTTTCTTAATCTCCTTTTGTGTTTGTCAATGTTTTACATGTATACGTTACTATGGGGCACAGATATGTGGCGTATAACCTCTCTTTCGTTCGGCGCACACATTCTAAGCTTGAGTTTACTGTGCATATTCTTTTCATTAATATTTATACCCATTTATTAATATTTATTATATTATATTATATTATATTATATGTACCCATTTACCTTGATATTATTCTTTTAAGTCACTTGTCTTGACATAACCGTATATTATGTTTTGGCTTCATTAACTAATAAACTCATACTATAGCTAGCTTTGAATAATCTCTTCGTTTTTTCTTCGATTTCATTCTAGAATTTTCCAAGAATTTCATTCGTATACACTAAAAGTGTGTTTACCCCGATTATTTCCATATCTCGTTCCTCCGAGAATCTATTATCACTTTTTCAAGCGCCAAGTTAATATAAATATTATATATATAATATAAAATAATACGAGTATTATCGATTATATTCGTGTATAATTTGTAGTTAGTACTGTTATTGAGCAAATTATCTTATTGTGGAATATTTTATAAATATAAAATTGGTTCAAATGACTCCATAAAATTCTGGTTCAAACGTGTTTCCCCTCGGTTGACTGGGGTTCGTGGAATTCTCACACCCGATATCCAAAAAGGATATCCCATGCTGGGTTCAATGCAATAAACAAATATTTATTTTTTAATTATCTATTACATTTTGTAATGTACTTTTATTGTTTGAATTCTGTTTTTAGTGATGGTGAAGTATGTGCTATAATTGAGAAAAATGCTGCTCGTGCAGCCGCCGCTGCAGCAGCGGTAGCAGCAGCAGCAGCCGTAACTGACCCACTGAGTACCTCATTAAATGGATCTGATGCATTAATGGCTAACAATATGGATAATAGTCAATCTGAATCCAAATTCAGTAATAATGATTCTAATATGGCTCCATCGACTGATCTCAGTTTCTCCGATTTTGGAATATTTCCAAGCACAACGTTTGGTGATATACTGCAAGAGAATAAATGGTCTGAACCATCTACAAGTTCTGTTGATGGACCTTCCAGAACTACATCAGTGCCTAGCCCAGCTACTTCAGTGTCAACTAATCCCCATACTCCTGTGTCACAAACACAATACTCTTCTTTTCCCTTTAGTCCACTCATATCGTCACCAAAGGATTCTTATGACTCCTCTGGTAGTGTTGACAGAACGGAGTCGGCTAGATTACGCTCATTGTTGTTAATGACAACACCCAAACGAACAGATAGTCTATCAGACGAGAGTAATGTGACAAAGAATAACCAAAACATACTAAAAGGATTGTTGAAGCCTAATGAAATAGCATCACAAAGTGCAGATGATGATTCGACTCATCACAGCACTCCACCAAGTCCTGCTAATGTACAAGCATCACACAATAATTCTAACTTCAATGATGCTCCTTCAACTCCAAATAGTGCTACTACTAGCAATAATAATAACAACATGTTGCTTAAGGTATGTATAACTAATAATGCATATACAAATTAAACTTACATTTTTATAGTTAACTTATTTTTTTATTTTTTACACGATTTTGGAAATAATCTATTTTTTTTATTTATTATATAAATTCTGCAAAATACTCGGATTTTGGTTTTTGGTAGTTTCGGTTGTTTTTGGGTTGCAATATATTTATCATAAAACTTTGCAGTTATTAAATAACAAAAGCGAGGATGAAGATATTGAAGCACGAGCAGGTCTTAAAAAACAAAATGATCTTCTGCAACAATTGCTGAAAGATGATGATAATGTTAGGCAGCATAAAATCATGCTTGAGGTAATTTATTAGTAAAAAAAAAATAATTTGTTGTGTGTGCACGTTTTTGGTTGATTCATTTTTTTTATATTATTTCCAAAGTCAAAAACAATTTGTTATTATTATTAGTTATTAAATACTTGTATTATTGTTATTATTATTGTTGTTGTATATTTATTTAAAGACTTTTTTTTAAATAATGTTATTGTTTATATAAATAGCAAAATGATCACTCAAATGAAGATTCAATTCTAAATAGTATGGGTTTCCGTATTATTCCACCAACATCACCAGATAGTCATAATCATGGTCGGAAACGTAACAGTATAAGTGCTGATGATGAAAATGATCATCCACCATTAAAACGCACTAATAGCTCTGGTGGAAGTTCAGGACCTTCAGTACTCGATTCATTATCTAGTCCTAGTGGTTCTCAGGCTCAAGTTACCAATAGCAAGCTACGTGAACGAAACAAAATGCTTGCTTCATTGTTAGCCAAAAATCCAACTCCTACTGCTATACCAGCAATACCTGCTTCAGTTATTTCAGCTACACCACAGGACAAATTAGTTACTATTATAAAACAACAGCATCAACAACAGCAGCCACAGTCTGGTTTGTATTTTGTTATTAATTTTATTTAACTAATTAATCATTAATAAAACGTATTCTGTTTTTAATACTTAGCTGCTAACTGGAACGTAAATAGTGGCCAACATTCAATGAATTTATTACAAAGCATGCAGCAACCTCAGCTTCAAAATCATCAACGAATTTTATTGCAAAAAAGTAATTTATCAATCATCATAATTATTCTTTTACTGTTACATTATTTTAAATTATAAGAACCCATAATATTGTGATACACAAGAACCAATGCTGGGTAGAACTTAAAAATATACCCAGTACTCAATTAATAATATATCACCTATGCTTTTAAATATAAAATAACACAATTACATACATTAATAGCATAAATAATATAAATCTAGTATAAAAAAAAATAAATATATTTTATATAATTAAACTTAAAAGAAAGGTATATTTCTAATATCCTACTATTCATAATATATTAATACAACCTTGTGATAGTAAAACTGTGATAATAATATAACTACTACTTTGTGTTTTTTTTTTTTTTTTTAATTTTATTTGTCGAGAAACATTTTTATTTTACCATTACCACATTTTCAGTGATAGCACTGTTATTCAAACCTAAGTACAACATTTCGTTTCTACTGAGGGTATTTTTAATTTCTATCTGATATCAGTTTAATTCCATTCTCATATTAAAACATTAAAAAAATAAATAATTATAGATATAAATACATGAATACATAATATTTTGTTTGGTGATAATAATTTATTCCTAAACTTATATTAGATCAACAACAAGGCATCCAAGGTCAAAATCAAATTCAGTTACAACAAATGCGACAAGTCACATCTTCAGCAAGTAGTGGTGGTTATGGTGCTCAGTTGAGCAACATAGCTGAATCAAATAGTAACTCCTTACCATTTAATTCAGATCCTGAATTGTCTGAATTGTTGGAAGAAGTTATGGACATTATGAATGTCTCTTCAGGCAAGTCAATTTTCACATTTTTATTAAACTAATGTTCAATAACTTTAATATGTATATATTTATATATATTGCAGATAATTCAACACTGTTAAACTTATTTAACATTTTGGAAACTACAAGTGCACCTAATCCAGTTGGACCCAGCACTACCAACCAAAATTCATTTAATTCTATAATGAATGAAAAAATGGCTGTTAATGCTATTCAAAAATCTTTAATGCAAGTTGAATCTTCAGTGAAATCGCCTCAACCAGTAAATATTTATTTAAAAAAAATTAATTGTTACTTATTACTATAAAAATAAATATTGCAATTTTAGTTGAATTATGGCTCTCCAGCTGGTAGTAATCTACATACACAAAATCAATTTATTCCACCTCCAGCATATCAACCACAACAAAAAACATCTGTTAGATTTAATCAACAACCAAGAATGGCTGGAATACCATCATATTCTAAAACTGTCCAAACACCACCTTTGGTTAGTTTAAAATACACTTTTTAAAATTGTCTTATTTTTTTAAATACTACTATAATTTTAATTTAAGACATAAAACCTAACTATCCATATTGTTTTTATTAGCAACAACAACAGTTATTATTGCAACAACAGCAACAGCAACAAAAACAAAGGTTAATACAACAACAACAACAAAAACAAAGGCTTTTACAGCAGCAGCAGCAGCAAAAAATCATGGTTGTAACGACAAACGCTGCATCGTTACCATCTCCAGATGCTACTAGAGCTTTACAAACAATAGATTCATTATTAAATAACTCTGGTCCACCTAATGTTGCATTACAAGTAATACAATTTTTTTTTTTACTTTAAATATAATGTACTTAAATCTATATCATATGTTATAGCGTTCCTCTAGTGTACCTGATTCACAATCTCAACTAAGTCCAGTTTATGCTGCATCCAGCAGCCAGTTGCTCAATTCATCTCAGATCTCACCTTCATCTAACCGACAACAACCTCCATATTCAACTCTTACTCAACAGTCATTTCCTATATTAAAGTAAATATTAAAAATCAAAATACAGTCATTTTGACATTACCAATTAATTAATTAGTGATAACTTCAAACAACAATTCATCTACCTAATATATCAGTTTAAATTAATCTGAAATATACTAACGTAAAATAATTAAATGTTTTACACTCTTGAATAAAATAGAAAAATAATCAAAATTCTTAACAATAATTTTTAACTCTAAATTTATGGAAAATTTGTAGTACATTTTTAATTTAGAACTTAAAAACAAATATTCATGCTCTAAAAAGTTATAATATATTCTTTATAAAAGTTTAAAATATGCTCAATCAAACGTCTCATTGAATGCATAAAAAAAAAATTTAAAAACAGAAAAATGTGCAATGAAATAGTAAATAGTATTTATTTAAACTATTAAAAACTTATAATAAAAATGAAATAGATGAGATTTAAAAAGAATATAATTAGTCTTTTTTTATTTTTTATTTAATCTGACAAATTAAATTAATCATAATTTTTTTTTTTTTTAATTTATGTAAAATGTATTTAGTTTTACTTACCTAAATGTTCATTACACCGAATAAACATTGTTATTAAAAGTTTTAGATTAAGAAAACGTCACACACCCATTTCTTGACGCCTAAAAACTTATATTGGGAGAATAGCTCTTCTGTACTCAATAGTTACTAGTTACTATTTACAGCTCACTAATTTGTTATTATGTTAGTAATTAGTACGTATTATTTATCTATCGTAATTTGTATTGTATAATTCTTATTTTGTTACTAAACTGTTGATAGTTTACCCTTTACTTATTAAAAATGTGTCAAATTTGGACAAATTTTAACAAAGATATTGAAGAACACAATCTGAAATCCGAATTAGCGGATTGAATCCAAAATCTGAAACAATGGATTGGAAACGTTAATCTGGATTAAACGGATTGATCCGAAATTAAAATTAAATAATTGTAATTTGTTATCCGGATTGGTCAAAATGATGCTCGGCACTAATAGACACCGAATATTCATAGCTTTACACTAATAAAATATAAATATGTCATGAAAGAAATTTGCAAATATATGAATACATAATTACATAACAATTTTACTTTCATATTCTATAGGTCCTAAAACAAATTTCTCTCCCATTCTGCAACTATTTAAAGAAAAAAAAAATTCTAATGCATAAATATCCGCTCTTTGTTTATTACAAAGATTAAAATTAATTTTATTTCTAGTTATGGAACTACTACACAAACTCAAACGACCACTCAAGCGCAACAAATTGTTCAACAAACTACTTCAAGAATGTCTCCATCAACACATTCTCAATACCAAAATCCTATCAACCCTTGTGTAAATCAAGTAATTAATATTTTTTTATGTTACTCTTATGGTCAATTGCTGTATTATATAAATTGATAATATACTTAATATTATGATATATTATTCAAGCAACAGCAGCAAACGCAAAGTTTATACCTAAACCAAACGCAACAACCTGGAGTGTGGTCTCAACAAAGATTAACTTTGCATCAACAACAGAATCCTATGCTTAATGCTCAATTGCAGGTAAAGTACACTTTTTTTTTAAAAAATAATACAAAATATAAAAACACAGTTGAAATAATAAATAATTCTGAATTTAGATAACTGGTAGTTTCAACAATAATAATGCAAGACAAAATTTTATTAATCAACAACAGGGTCATGGAGCTAATCGTGTATTAACAAGCCCAGTTAGTTATAATTCAGAAGTACCACCCAGTACGAATTGTCAACCACAACAACAACAGCAACAACAATATAGGTTGCCTAGAAATATAAATATGACAACTGCCAATTCACAAATCCCTGGTGAGAAGGAATATAAATATTTAATATGACTTTAAATATCGATGATGTTTTGTTGAAAGGGCGTATACCACATAATTGAAATTTTTCAGGAGAACAAAATAGTGTTTTTAAAAATGATACCGCTAAGGTCGGTTGATCTTGAATATACCTTCATATAGTAGGCATGTTGATAATTTGATAACAATTATCATTCAAATGCTTAATTTATTCGTTAAAACCACTAGCAATTCCTGTAGTATACACCCTCTTAAAATTCTCCGTTAAAATATATATATATATTCTTTAGGGCGTTTGGATAACTTATATCCGCTATATAGAGAATAATTCTTAATATTTTTAACCGCCTTAATATTACAAATTATGCGCCAATTTTTTCTGAAAATTTTGATACCAAAAACTCATTTTTCGATTTTTTGTGGTATACGCCCTTTCAACGAAATGCAATCGATATGTTCAATAAGCGAATTAAAATGAATATTTAATAATTTTAAAAAATCTAGGTGGAAATAATGGTGTCACTGAATTTACTAGGAATGAACTTAGAGCATTTGTAGGAGTTCGCAGCCAACAACAAAGTGGTACACGTTTAACTAGCCAATTATTGCCTGGACAAAATGTTACTCCCCCTGAACTCGATTCATTAGGTTTAAATTTTGATATACCTTCAGGTACAGCATGAGCATAAAATATATATTTGAAATAAAATGACATAATAATTTTAATCAACAGGTAGCGAAAGCCCCAAATGGTCTGGACTAAATTCAGATATGAGTTCATCTTCTCCACAACCACAAGGAATTCCTTCAAGGGTAAGTTAATAGTATTGCATTTAAGATATGGATTCCTAATTTAATTTTGGATTTTTTTAGAATCCAGTGGATGAATCTACCAGAACAAATAGTGCAAATTCAACCACCAATTTATCAGACCAAAAATCTTCTCTTTTACAAAAACTACTTTCAGAATAAATAAACACTATTTCTTGTAGACTAAACATGAAAGCAGAACTTATATCCTAGGGTATTTGTTTAAGTTATTATTTTTTCATATGTATTTTAGTTTTTTATTTATTTAATTTAGTTGTAAAAAATATTTTAACAATTTTACTATGTACAAACCTACTTTACCTACTTTACTTAAATAGGTGTATATAATAATTTTTAGAGTATGAGTAGGCTTTAACACTACAAGTTGTTTTATTTATTAATAAATAATGTTGAGTTATTAATTATTGTTTTGTTTTACTTGCCAATGCAATATTGTAAATTATATTTTATTTTAGTTTTCACATGAGTTTAATCTAGCCTAATTCATTTGTTTTTCAATATTTGATGGAAATCAGTATTTATAAATAACTTTCTTTTAATGGAGTCCAGTCATAGTTTGCAAAATGTCATGTTATTTATTTTTGTGCTCTTATAATAATTTGTTACAATTCATTGCATTATTATTGATTTTACATTTAACTAGAAAACAGTTAACTACTTTATTTTACAAAATATATTCGTATTACTCTTATTATTGTACAAAACTGTTTATATTTTATTTATTAATTAATTTTTTTTTTTTTGTTAATTTGTCAAGGTATATAATAATTTTGTTAAAATGTATTGATATGTGAGATCGGTAGTATGTTGCAATTAAAACAATTGTGATGATCAGTTATACGTAATTGAATTTCATACGGTGGCTACATATCAACAAAATGTCTTCCTACTAATATAATTGATAGAATATAAATTTATTATTATTTTTTATTATGTTTTTTTTTTCACTTTTCTGTGTTTCTTTATTTCTTTATTTTGATTTAAATATTTTTTTAGTCTTTCTACAAACTTATCAACTACGCTTGTACCCATTAATTATATAAATTTAAAGTTACTCAAATCCCTCATTAATGCACTATTCCATTCATCAGTTCAAATATATTTTTAAATTATATTTAAATTAAAATATCATTGATGACATTCAAAATTCAAGCATACCCCTACAATTCCGTCTTATAGGTTAGACACTTAAATACAATATTAAATTTTTGTCATTTTCGTTTTTATTTTCATACTACATATTTCTCCTCGCAGAACTGGATTCCATTTAATGTTAATTTTGGTAGTTAAAATAATTCTGTTATATGCTTCATTTTTACATTAAATTACAGTGGCAAGAAACTGGTTTCAAATCCTTATTATAGTCAGAAATTCTACTTATTTTATAAAGAATCATTATTATTTTTAAACCAAAACAATATTCATACATTTAAACTAACAATGATATTTTAATATTTCATTTTAAAGTATGCAAATTTCAAAAATTTACAAATATAATATTTTCGATCTATTATCATGTTCTAATAATAAGAAATCATTGTTTTGCTTACTATTGTCTTTATTATTATATTTTTATTATTATTTTTACTGTTATTGTTGTTGCGCGTTTTCTTTTTTAAGTTCCTTTTGTTATTATTAACAATATTTTTTTTCTGCCTTAATACTTAGGTTATTAAGAAATCATGTTTCATCTGTTTTATTCCTAAGTGTATATTTAATTTTTTTTTTTTTTTGGCCAATAACATCTATATTATAATAACTATGATATTATTAGCTGTAGTTAGGCTAGATATATTTTTACTATGCACCCAAATGTTTATCACATTCTAAACTTTCCTAGGTTACCTGGCTGAAGTTTTTATGTCAACATTTAAATTCATAATCATTTGGTGTTATCAATGCAAAATTTTACATTTTGTGCGATATTTGCTAATTACCTAATATATTATTATAGTTACCTACGCAATTCACTTGGGTCATTGCAAAGTCTAATATGTATAAAATGTAATAGAGGTGTTTGTATAAGGTATATTATTATTATGATTATTATTTTTTTTTTTTTTTTTTTTTTTTTTATCATTTCAAGTCTTTAATAATACACGACTATAGTTTTAAAAAGTAATTTTAAAAGTATCTCTAACATATAATTAATTTACATAAATCTTTAAGCAACAATGTATATTGACCATTTTGGATTATTATTATTTTTATTATTATTATAACTTTTTAAATGACTATTTTAAATTTATAACGCAGGGAAAAACACATTATTAATGTGGGGAAATATGTGTTGATGCAGTGATTTTATTTATTTGTACATTTAAGATGTAAATAATGTAAAGGTTGACTTTGATGTGAAGGTTATATGAAAATTTTCTTGTATGTGATAATGAAATGAGAAAAAAAATTGGAATACAGTTTTTATTACGTTATTTTTGTAACAGTTATTACTTAAAACGTTAATGATTTATACGCACGATTTTTCATACAAATGAATTAGATAACAATATTATATTTTTGATGTCTAATTATAATTTAATGTAAAAAATAAATATTTTTATTCATTTATCTTTTTTTTAGTAACAAAACATAACTCACACTTTTCTCAATTTTCGAAAGAATTTAAATTCAAGAAATTATTAAATACCTAAAAATATATTTTTAAATGTATTTATATTTACTATTTTTAATACAAACGAAATTAAATTTTACAATTTTATAAATAGTTTATATTTTTTCCCTGCATGTTTTAAAAAATAAGATCATTTAAGAATGGTAATTCACATTTTTTAAGTAGCATTTAAATTTTATTTTTGGAAAATATGTTATCAAATCGGCATCTCGTTTTATTATATTGTATAAATATATAATTTCTGACGACTATATTATTACATTTATCTTAATTTATATGTAGTGTATATTTATACATATATACTTACGTTTATATATTATACATACAAATATATATACATTGGTTAATATAAATATAAACATTTATTTATGTATTACATACTTAATGTGAATAATTTTTTTTATGTAGAACTGTATACCACAAGAAATTACTAGTTATTTTTATGGATGTAATTTTTTAATTTATATTATATGATTATTATTATTATTACTATATGTTGCATATTAATTTTGGTTATGTAAAGTTATATTTTGTGGATTTATGAATGTAATATTAAAATTTTTTAATATTTTATTAAAAAAATTAATAGGCTCTATATATATATATATATATATAAATATTAAAATTGTTTATATGTGTATACATTATACATGTATATTACTATGATTATAAGGGATACATATATAATAATATTTTACTCCAAATGATTTATGGATGATTATAGGTGTTTTCCTTAATGTTTTTTATGTTTTGAAATTGATGTTTATGTCTAAATAGACTTTTATGATAATATGAGTTTTTCAAACAATTTATTTACTTATAATTACCACATAATACTTATCAAATCTGAATTTAAAAAAAAAAATTTGGAAAAACGGTTCCCCAAATAAACATATCTAATAAGTGTATCATGAAATCCATAACGTCCTTTTCCAAAATACATTTCTCACTCGTATATCAATGATACCATGAAGATTTATAAGAATGATCATTAAAGAATAATTCAATAAAAATTAAAATAAATCAATGAACTGGTAATAAATTAGTGAACAATAATATATTCTTATTAATTAATACTCAGCCTAAGCAAGTGTAGTATTAATCTATGCAAAGATTCAATTACATCCCTGTCCCTAAGATTTTAGTAATGTTGACATCACAACTAATTTATAACTTAAAATCTTAATAACAATTGATTATTTGACTAATTTCTTTCAAAATGTATAATTTACAATATTTATTTTCTACACTTGTCCACACTTAAAATCTATTTCTATTTCGTATTTATTTTGATCAAAAGGTACACCAAATAACATTGTATAACATAATATTTCAATATAAAAATGTAAACAAATCCTATGTCTACTAATATAATATCTTTATTATAGCGTTGCTATTAAATAAGACAAAATTATTTTTATAACACAATTATTTTATAACCAATAATATTGGGGTTCATTTAAAAATAATAATACAAAATTTCTCTTCTATTTTAAGGGTATTGTAAACGTTTGGTTAGAACATACCAATTTATTGTCAACTGTAACAGTCGACTAATTCATGCGATAAAAATTTTGAAAACTGATTTGAATATTTTCACATTTTAAGCGTTGATTATTCAGATTTTAATAAGAAATCTTAAAATGTGGTCTAATCGATCATAAAAAGACATTATAACAAATTCAAATCAGTTTTCAGGAATATTATCGCATAGTTAGATTGGACGGTAGAATTAACAAAAAGTACATATTTTTTATCAAATAAAACATTACGTTCTGTATCGTGATAATGGTGACTTGTACGTACGCATGCGGAAGCTATGCTAAATACAAGTCGCGAACTCATTCAACGTTTTCGATTAATTCGTAGGTCAATGATGAAACCTAAATATAATCTGTGATAAAACTATAAGATATAGGGCTATATCTTACATATCATAATTATATTATGGTATATTTATAGTATCTTGAGTGTTATATAGTTTTTGACATTTTTTCCTTCTTTATGAAACGTATTTCATTCACTAACGACAGTCAAAACGGATAAAGTAATTCTTATTTAAATTATAGTGTAATAGAATGGAACTAATTTTATCCGAATTCTATCATGAATACATGCTGCCAGAAATGCGTTATCCTGAATATTTAAAAAAATAAATACAAAACATATTAATTACCGGAGGTACCGACGATTTGTTAATTTTAAATGTATTTTAAATATTTATTAATTTTTGAAAAGAAGAAAATGTATTAAGTAGATATAATAGTCGGATAGTTTTACAACACACACCAATCGCTATTGCAAAATTGCCCAATCGTCTAACACGTAATTATAATATTATATTTTAATTATATATATTATAGTTTTAGAATTACAGGTAGGTTTTATATTTTAGGAAGGATTAATATTAAATATTTATATTTTGTATTAAAAATGCTCTAGTCCCAAAATATATTTTTCATGAAAAATATGTAGTCAAAAAAATCCGACCTCTAATGATTACAACAAATACTAAAAATTATATTATATTCAATTCAATGTACAACGAAATCATGTGGGCCAACGCGATTACAGAATACAGATGAACATTATTATTTTAAAATTATTTTATTTATAAATAACATTGCTATAACGTTGCGACCAGGGTCTTTGAAGAGAAGAAGTGGTTATACAACCGCATTAACACTAATGATCATTTACTACGCTCCCACATGTAACGGCGTGTCCTACGTGGCGTCCGTTAAATACGTCCGATGCGTCCGATGCGATAATCCGTCGAGAAATAAAAACAAATATATATAAATTAATACAACTGTCCAAAGTGTGCGGCAAATGCGATAATCCGTTAACGGACGGATCGGACGCAAATTTGAAAAACAAAATAATTTGTTTTCGCCGTATGCGATAATGCGTTTGATATTAAATCAACGTCGATCGAGTGCTAAAATACGATATTATATTATTATAAATTGAGTATCTACTAGTGATGAACACAACTGACTGATGAGTGACGACTACGTACTACAAATAATCGACTATTTATAACTATTATTAACACTCTATACACTATTTATAATACAATTTTCTATTTTTGTTTCAATAGCTTTTAAAAGAATACGAAACTTTGATGAAGCAATACCAAAAGCACATTCAATAGTCATCCTGGCTCTAGCATGTCTATAGTTGTAGTACATCTTATCAGCATCTTGTAATTGATATCTAGGAAATGGTCGCATTAAATAATTACGCAGTGGAAATGCTTCATCACCAATAAAAACATGTGGAACTTTTACATTTGAGTTTGGAAATTTTTTCTCACTTGGGATTTTTAACGATTCGTTTTCAAGACTGTGATATATATTTGAAGCGCATAAAATACCGTCATCGCTATCTTTTCCATAACCTCCTACATCTACTATTATGAATTTATAATTTGCATCAGCAATAGCCATTAAAACGATTGAATAGTATTGTTTGTAATTAAAAAACATACTACCAGGATTTTTCGGACATCGAACTCTGATATGTTTACCATCTATACTTCCAATACAATTTGGATAGTTCCATTTTTGGTAAAATTCCTTTTCAATAATTTTTAGTTTTTCTATAGTTGGTGTTGGTAAATGTTTTTCACTTAAATTATTCCAAATAGCTTTACAAACTTCAATAACTATAGTTGACACTGTTGATTTCGATATTCTAAATGAAAGTGCAAGTTGCCTAAAAGCCATTCCAGTTGCCAAATATCTGTTTCAATAAAAAATAAATGCACTAGGTATATGTATATTTATTAGTGATTATTATTATTATTATTTTATGCCATTAAACGTATATTATAACATATATTATTTTTTTTTAATTTGGCGTGTTTTTTGTAGAAGAAGATACAAAAAAGAAATGGCGTAGTCTACGAGATACGTTTCTAAAAGAAAGGAAAAAAATTGTGAAAAGTTGTTCTGGCGATGCACAAGAATATATTGAAGAATATAATGGCAAATGGTCTTATTATCATTTAATGTTATTTTTAAATGATACTACTACACCAAGGATTACAGACAGTAATATTTCAGAAACATTTTCCACAGAAAACTCTGATAATTTATTTGAAAAAAATGATGATTATGATACAAGTGATACCAGGGATGCCGTTGATACCGATTTAGAATATAATATAACTGTAAATAAATATCATGAATCATCATCAAAATCTACGTTTTATCCTACACCTGCAGACGTTTCTGATATAGAAATAATCGTTGATTCTCCAATAAAAGTTAGCATTCCAAAAAAAAAAATAGAAAAAAACCTGTACAAACACATTTGAAGACCAACTTTTAGAATTAGAACGCGACAAAAATAATAAAATTTCAGTTTTGCTAAAAAATCAATTGCAGAATTCCGAAGATGACAAAGATATGTTTTTTTTTAAATCCCTGTTACCACATTTTAAAAAAATGAATGCAATACAAAAACTACGTGTGCGAAATCAATTTCAAGGAATTATTCTTAACGAATTGCAGTCAAGTGAAATAAGACAACCATTATTAACAACGGCTAATATGCCATATCATTATAATACTACAGCTGCAGGTACTTCATATTCATATCCTTCGTCATCTTCATCAATGGCATCCTATTGCGCACCAAATGATCCAGATTATGTTCAATATAACAATAATAACAATAACTCTCAACCATCTGCCATTAATATTTCTCAAAATAGTAATAGTGATACATTAGAAAAAAACTCGTTATTTAGTATTTAAGTGTTTTTTATTGGTCAAAACATTTTTGTTTAACTTATAAAGCTTTTTTTTATTAAATATTATGTTATTATGATTAGATATATTAAAAGTTTAAACCTAGATAATCAGCTGAATTCCAGGTAAAGTATTTAGTTTAATTTTTTTTTCTTTAAGTGACCAGTGATTATTATTTTTTATCCTACCTATTAGTTTATAATTATTTACACTTATATAATAAATAAACTATACAATAATTACAATATTTATTATATGAATTTTTATTCAGTAAAAAATTCTTCAATTCTATTTAAAAAATTATATGAAAAAAAAATTGCCGATTTTATAAAAAAAGGTCTTTCAGAAATTTATTACCGATTCAACAGCTAATGTGACAACTGATACACTCTTGGGGGAGTGCCCCCTCTCCTCGGGACGGACCAAAATCGAATGATTACTTATATAATAGATTATCAGTTATGATAACTGAAAATATAGTATATTAAAGAAATTAATAACTCAATTTACCTTATGGTTACAAGGAGCCTTTCTTCAACAGAAATTGGTTTTTGAAAATTTGTTGAAACATGACTACAATCAGGTGATATTTTTTCTATGATGTAGTCGAATGTGTCTATAGACATCCTAGTATATGTTAAAAACAAACCAGCATTGCCACGTAATTTTCCATATAGATGATGGAATTCACCGAACATAAAACGATCTTTATAGATCTGTTGTATAGGCAAACGTTTTTTTTTATATTTTAAAATTAGATACTTGAGGTACGTACTTTCAGATAAATTTAATAACGAAACCATTTCTGACTTTGAAAGTGACATTATAATAAATTATAATTTACTAAGAGTAAAACTTACTAGAGTAATGTAATGTACTCTTAAATCGTCTGTGATGGACTGACGAAAAATGTTATTAAATCGTATATAGCGCAATATCGCATTAACGGACACCACATAGGACACGTCGTATTATCGGATTATCGCATTAACGGATAAACGGATAAACGCATCAGACGCATCGCATTGACGGACGCCACGTAGGACACGTCGTATTATCGGATTATCGCATTAACGGATAAACGGATAAACGCATCAGACGCATCGCATTGACGGACGCCACGTAGGACACGGCGTAAGCACTAAAATAATTGCCTATACTAAACCCCTTAAAAACCGACCGTTTGCAAAGTATTTAAAATAGGTACTACGTTTATTTTTCAAACACATATAATTGACAACAGTAAAGTATTTCAATTGTATAGGCTTTGATACAAAAATAATTCGATTGTCTATAAATATACATAAAGATAAAGTTAATAAGATAATTTCGGTATACTATATTTTATATCTTAAAAATATTATACTTTCCATTTTTCGGGAGTGCGTATAATAGCCGATAATATATCAGCTCAAGGCCGTAACTGAGGGGATCCAGGGGTTCAAACCCCCTCGAAATTTTCAAAAGTAGAAACATTTTAGCAATGAATATAATTTATTAACTATAAATTGTATTAAATAATAATGTTCTTATCAGCCAATCCGTATTTTAGCCGAAAAATAAATGATCCAACTCGTAATTTCTTCGAACCGTATTTTAGCCGACACTCCTAAAATATTTTATCTCATACTATCTTATACCGTATTACTGATTAGGTTATAAATAAGGATATAACATGATCTAAGATGTTTTGACGCCCTTAATCCCCTCCTTAAGGTACGGTCTGCAAGGCGCGACACGTCGTGAATGTATATTTTCACGGAAATCGTATAATCTGGTCTGTCAGACGCGACAGGTCGCGGCGTGCAAACTTTTGGTCACCGCGGCCAACAACACTACTGCTACAGAAGCAGTGTACACGCGACCTATCACGACGACACCATGTCAAAAGTTACATTTTCGCCGTCTGATGACGAAATATTGGTCCAAGAGGTGCAAAATAATCCTATATTATACAATATAGGAGCTGCGGATTACAAAAATATTATAATAAAAGATAATATATGGAACCATATATCGATTAAAATTGGAAAACCTGTTAAATAAAATAGTATATAACCTATACAATAAATATAAAATAAATGATTCTGAAATTAATTTTATAAATTTTGTAGTAGATGACACTAAAAAGCGATGGAAAAATATAAGGGATTCGTATACACGAAATAAAAGAAAACCTGGAACTGGATCAGCCGCTTCAAACAAAAAAAAAATGATCTTTGGCACCACATCTTACTTTTTTAGACCAAGTTGAATGTGAGCGAAAGTAAGTATTATAATTATTGAATTTATATTAGGTCTTATTATGAAAAAAATTGATATAAATAAAAGCATTATTACGTAATTACATTTACATTTTTAGCTCAACTTGTAACGTGACAATAAACCAAAAAATGGACATTCCTTATGATGAAGAAAGAGGAGATACATTATATGAAGCAGCTGATGACGTACCACATGAAACTAATTTAACTAAGAAGCGTGGTTTATCCAAATCAAGAAGTGTTGCCGATGTATTAATGAATTAATTTTTTTATTTTAATTTTTCTTCAACCAAAGATAATATAAAGTTAAATTGTTTATAATTAATCCGAAAATATTCACGAAATTTGACGTGGTTGTGTATTAAGTGTCGATTGATTAATATTTCAAAACATCCTTCACTTTCACGATTTTTAAATATATCGTCGGTTAGTTTTTTTTTTTTTTTGACGTCAAATAAAAAAAATTAGCCTCATCGTCATCCTCATCTATCAATAGCACAGTTAAAATATTATTATTATTAAAAATCAATTCATCCATTGTTATTAATTATTATTATTTAAATTTCAGAATTTAAAATATACTCTTGTAGTGGCTAGTGCGTACTGCGTACACGTTTGAACAGACTTAGAACCGCACTAACAATATTTCTGTTTGTGATAACTGGCAGAAAAAAATTGTACTATCGTCGCGACATGTCGCGTCTTGGAAACCACACTTATCGCGGCGATGTGTCACGCCTTGCAGACCGTATCTTTACCTAGTTTGAGTAGTAGTAAAATTAAGTTTTTTAGTAAGTTTTAATAAAATTTAATTAGGTATTTTGTATTATAACTTTAAACTTTATTACCTAATTATATAATATTGTAATTAAGTTATTAACTTATAAAATTGTAGATTGTTAATGCGTGTTAAAAAATAAATTAAATAAGAATAATTTTCAGTTCGGCATCCCGGTCGCCCATAGATTTTGCCGGTTCTGACTAGTACCTATCTGCCTATCATAACATAGTATCTATAACCATGGTATAAACTATTACCACAGTATGATATTACCATGCTCAAATGACTATACTGTCGGCTAAAATACGGTTCGGCTGAAATATGTATCGGCTAAAATACGGTTCGGACAAAATATGTCAGCTAAAATATTTTCGGTTGAAATAATGTTGGTTACAATATTTTCGGCTATTTTGAAGCTCCTCCATTTTTCGAAATAATTAAAATTATTAAATAATTAAATTAACATTAAATAATAAAAAAAATACAAACGAATAAAATTATTAGAACATACTAACGCCCCTCCTTTCACACGACGGTTTCGTCTGTACGGATTTTAATTGACAGTAAATAAGGGTAACTAATTGCAGCTTTCACACAGGACGGTGGATGGATTTTTTCCGTACGGCCGCCGTGATACAGCCATGTCAACGACTGAAAAGTACGGCGCCGTGCCGTCGCTCTCTTATGACTAGCCTACGTGATAAGACGCGTGGATTCACACTACACGGTTTTTAATCGTCCACCGTCCGTTTTTGTGGTTTCTTGTGAAGCATTTTAATATTATATTTTATTAATAATTATATTATATTATAATTAAGTGGTTTTGTAAGTCAATATGGCTGATGATATTGACACAGAATAACTTATTTCTCTTTTCGAAGCTAGACTTGTTTTATGGGATAAATCACTAGAACTTTATAAAGATAGGAATGATACAAGAAACGCTCGGGTAGAAGTTTACATTGAATTGAAGTCAAATTTCAATGAATTACGGAATAAAGACAAAAATGCATTTGGTGAGTATTTATATTATAAAGTATAAGTAAAAATAATTAAAGTTTATTTGTATATAATAGAATTTATATAATAGAAGCGAGTATTTAATATGTTATTTAATTGTATACTAGTATTATTTATTTGCTAAAAATGGTAACTAAGTATTATTTTCATATATTTTTTAAAATAAAAAAAAATTAATTTTTTTATTATCTACACTTTTGACATTTGCCACGGGATTGCTCCAACTATAAAGTAGTTGCTTAATATCTGTCGAGTATTATTTGCCGATAAACCTCCACGTGATGATTGTTCTGGTAATAAATCACCCAATCCTGTAATTGTTGTAGTATCGTCAAATAATACTCCATCCTTGTTTCTATTAAAATTATGCAGTAGGTACAATACAAGCTTTAACAATATCAACTGCAAAATCTGGTTCAACGTTTATTGGTCAGTGAAAAATACGCCACTTCTTAGTTAAAATTCCAAATGTACATTCGATATAACGCCTAACTCTACTCAAACAATAATTGAAAATTCGTTTTTCCACTGATAGATTTGATCCTCCAAATGGTCGTAAAAGGTGTTTATATAGAGCGAAGGCTTCATCTCCAACAAAAAAATATGGCACTTCAGAACTATCAGTTCCTGGGAGGCATTTCTGTTCTGGAATATGGTGTCTTTTAGTAACAATAGGTTTCCACAATCTGCTTCACTTAAAAACAGCAGAATCACAATCTTTCCCGTAACTTCCTATATTTGCATAAACGAAACGATAATTTGAGTCTGCTATTGCCATCAATAATACATATCAATACAATCAATAAAACATGGATCCACTTGAACGTGGACAAATTATCCGGATATGTTTTCCGTCCACCTATAATAATAGTATAAACATTTTAATGGTTTGAGTAATTTAAATAAAATATATGCAATAATTAAATTATTACTCACCGCTCCTATATAATGTGGAAAATTAATATTTTTTTCAAAATCCAATGGAATTTTTTCCCACTGTTCTTTTGATGAATTGGGTAGAAAATGTTTACTTCATTACAATCCAAAAAGCTCTGCAAACTTCTTTGACTATCTTACTAGCAGTAGAAACACCAATTCTGTATGTATACTGAAAATCTGTGAATGAGCATCCACTTGTATGATACCTAAAAAAAACTATAGTTCCTAATACTACCCAAAAAATAATTAGAAACACATTAAAAAAAAAAAAAAAAATACATCATTGTAAAATCAATATATTCTTCGTTTTATTCAGAATCTAAAATATTTTTTATCATTATAGGAAAAGAAGTAATTAAAAGTTGGATAAATATACGAGATGCTTTTGCAAAGTTTTCTAAAAAAGAAAAATTAAAATCTGGAGCTGGAGCTTTTAAACATAAAAAATATGTTTACAGTGACCAACTACCATTTTTAAAAAAATTATACCTAACAAGGGAAGTGGAAGATAATTTTGAAAAAGATGATGGTGAAATTGATAACACTGAAGTCGAAAAAGACATTTACCACAAAAAAGACTCAACTCAAGCCACTCGAATCAAAAAAGTTGACCAAGATTTAGGTTCTTTTTAAAAAAAACGTCATAAGGCTGATGAATTAGAACAGATGATGTTAAAACCTCTTCAAAGTGATATGCCAAATCGACATTTATCTTTTTTTAATGGAGTAATACCTACGTTGGAAAAGTTTAATGAAGATGAAGTTTTGAAATTTCAAATGAGAGTATTACAACTGATTTCAAATATAACTGATGAAAAACGAAGAGGCCCTCAACCTTTCAATTATCCACAGCCTCCCTTACATTCATCTCAGCCTACAATATCTACTCATCCTCATTTCTATATAGTAACTCAAAGAAATCAACCACCACAACAAGCTTCTTACCAGTATTATCAAAACTTGGATCAACCTACAGCTTCAACCTATTGTGCACCGATACCCCAACCTATAGATAGTCCCTCTCCAGCCCTATCTATTTCATTTTCATTAAACTCAATTGAATTTTCTGCATTAAGTCCAATTTAATTCTCTTTTCTAATTTCTTAATTTATATTTGTTATTATAATAAACTTTTTCATTTTTTTTTTTTTATTTATAACAGCAAAAAGCTAGTCATGTTTATGCTATTTTTCTATTTTTCAGTAAATTAAAAGTTAATAATACAATCAACCTAAAACTTTAATACTTACCTCAGTGTTACAGCTATCATTAACACAGGTTGAATGCAAATTCTCATTTTAATGTTTTGCCGCTGAATACTGTTTTTTAATAGGTTATGAAGCTCGTCAAAGGATGAAATTGACATTCGAAAATAATAAAAAATTTGTTTTCATCTGCGCATAATTCTTTCATTAAAGAAACAAATGTTCCCACTTCATCTCTTCTCTGATTAATTGGGTGCACCCAGTAAATACGATTTCGTTATTTTCGATACTTTTGAAGACGACGATATAAAAAACACATGGCACTAGTGCGCTTTCGATACATCTTGAAAGCCAACTAAGTTGAAATTAAAATTGAAAAATATCTATAATATCACAGAGAATTCACAAGAAAAACACGTTGTGTGTGAAAACAAAGTCCATCAGCCTGACGACTGAAAAGTATTGCACCGTGCCGCCGCCGTCTTATCAGTGACCTACGTGACTAGGTGTGCATATTCACACTACATGGTTTTTAATCTTCCACCGTCCGTTGTCATAACTTCTTATTAAAATTTGTTACGTGCCAACCAATCGATCTGATTATTCAGTTACAACGTCTCTGTCAACGCTTGAGTGGAAGTGTAGTCAGGAATAATTAAGACTTCTTTTTAAAATAATTAAATTTATTCAACTTATAAAAATTATCCTAACTACAATTTTGTAAATATTCTAGTGATAGAAATTATCTAAGTCCTAACAATTGTAACTTATAAAATAATTAGAAATATTTCTAAGTCCAGACCATAACATACACTGACGTGAAGGTGCTCAGTGCAGCATAGACAAGACTCGTCTGATTTGCCCTTGTTTTCGGGTCCCTTTTATATGTGATATTGTATGTGTGTATGTAAAATCCCAAATGTGTGTGTGTAAATGAATAAGATAATAAAATAAGATAATTTCCTATAAATTATGAGTGTGTGTGCGTTATCTCCAGGCCGTGACATAATTATTGACGCAAATGCCCAGGATGTGGTTTTTGATTAACTATTCATTTTAATTTAATTTAATTTAATTTCCCATAAAACGTGATTAACGTTTGGTGTTATAACATTTATAACGTTCGATCAACTATTTATTTTAATTTAGTTTAATTTCCCATAAAAACGTTTATGTGAACTCTTTTATTCGTCCACGCATGTGATTTTGATATTCCAATTTCTTATTACAATATCTAGTGTAATAACCACATGAGCTCAATAATCTAACTTATCCATATTTGTGGTTTTTGATGTACATGGGAACCTCCTTGTGATGTGTTTTACCGTGTGACTACGCGGGACGCGACAAATTTATATTTAGAAAAATTAAAATTAAATTAAAATTTAGAAAAAAAATGCTTATTAAAATTATCACTTTAAAATAGAAATAAAATAATAAATTAATAATGGAAATAATTGACACAGAAATTGAAATCGTAATCAGAAATCGTACGGACAAAACCGTTGTGTGTGAAAATAATGTTCGAACGAAAAAAAATCGTACGGTTAAAATTCGTACGGACGAAACCATCGTGTGTGAAAGGGGAAACTTATATTATTTCTTATATATTTTAGGTTTGTACAACTGCTGCTATTGTAACATCCCAGTCAATTCATACCTGACATTTGGTATGGCTAAACATGATGAAAACAATACGATATGATTTGAATTTTAATTACTTATTGTCACGAAATTTACGATTATTGCGATTATTTATAACGCATTATATGTCATAAATTTTATGATTATTATATTATTATATGACATAAATTGAGTCACGTTTTGTCTCGATTTTTTTCTAGTAATGTTAATTTTATATCTATATACCTTTACAATTCATAAAAATATATTTTGAGATTTAAAGCAGTAAGCCGTGGCATCGACATATTAAAAATATATTCTTAATAAGAGTAACGAAAAAAAAAATAGTATTCGAAAAAAAAAATCAATAATCACCGCCCAAGTAATGACAGTATACATATACAGTGGTGGTTTTAACTGGACCACACCCTAGGTTATACGTTTAATTTGTTATATATTATATTTTATATGCGGATATAAGCTTATAGGTACATTTATACATAAATCTAATGATTTCAACCTTATATCCATTTATTAGAATGTTTGTTACAGCTATTGCCTATTTAGTTATTTATATTTTCCTTCAAATTACTACGTTTCATAGTAGGTATTTTTAAGATAATGTAAAAGAATCCCCCCTCCAAAAATGTTTAAAAAAAACCGCGACTGTATTTATATATATATATATATATATATATTTAAATCAATGTTTTTTAAATAGAAAAACGCATTGTTATCAATTAGTATCAACACAATTGCACTAACACAATAACAAAATTCTAAATTTTTTTTCTTTACAATATTGATACTTGAATAGTTGAAATATATTATAACAACAATTTTCACATTTTCTTTTTTATTTCTATACATAAAAAATGTGTTTTAAAGTACGTCGTACATCTATGTTTTATATTAGAAACAATATTTTATAAATATACACATTACCCAAAAACTAGATACTCCTATTCTCCATTGCGTCATTTTCATATTACATAGCGTAAAGGACATAAGTATATTCAAATTTCAGATGATTTCTGGTCCAAAAATACAAGAAAAACAAAATACAAAAATATTAATTTAAATAAAATATGTTATTATTTTAAATTTTAATCAAAATTAACTTCATTTATTTAACGAAAAGCTCGTATTAATAAATATACAGTTTACAAATAATTTACATTTTGTGAAGATATTTTTTTTTCTTTGCCAAAAGAAATTGATACAGATGTTTAGTAACTATTTGATAGTTTTATTTATTCTGTTATTGAATTAATTACTTAATTTTAAATTTATATTTCTTGTAATTAAATATGATAAAAACTCGTCAATGTTTTTAGCTGATAAAAAAAAAAATTTGGAAAAGTTAAATATTACCTTATGAAAAATAATTTTAAATAGATATGTTGAATACAATTGTTAGTTACTCTAAATTTTAAATTTTACAATTTTGTGCATACAAATGACACTAATTGATTGAATTGTGGACCTAAGTTAAAAAACTTCTTATAACAAAAATAAATACTTAAATAAAAAGAAATATCAGGCATCTAAATGAGTTTTATATTGCTTAATACTACTTCCCTGCATAACACTATAGAATCTTAACCAATAGTGAAAACGATTCTATTGGTAAACTTAGGTTGTTAATAACCAACTATGAATATTCGGTAAATTATAAACTATATTTATTTAAATCTCACTAAATTTCAAAAAAATGTCATATCAAACCATCTGACTTACAGTTTTAAATGAAATAATAAAAACTAAATATTTTTTTTTAAATAAAACAAATTTAATAAATTATATATATATATATATAACCAAATATTGTTTAATCCAATAATTGGGTTAATATTTGTACAATATGTTATAATATTTGTCTATTAGGTTTATATATGCATGTATTGCAAACTGTATATATTTTAGACAATATTAAATTAATAAATTCAAAGCTCAGATTTTGTAGTATTTACATATAATTATTAAGATAAAAAAAAGGTTATTTTACTACAAAATTTAAATGGTAATTATTAGTTTTAAAATATGAAATTTTTAAATTTAAAATTATCATAAGTAGAATTTACTATTCAAAATATTTAATACAACTAGATTATATTACATTTCAGTTCAAATAGTATTATTTTAATTTACAAATGTATTTAAACATATCAACTAATCTTAGAAAAGTACTTCATGTTATTTGTGTTCTAATAATTAAAAAAAAAAAAAACTAAAAATATTTCAATGATTTAAATTTGAAGAGTAAAATATAAAACATATAACTATCATTTTAAGTACTAGAAAATCTGAGCCCTAAACTAATAGTTAATAAAAAAACAGGTTTGTTAAAAATTCATTCACTGAAATATAATTGTTTACACACTTGTAAATAATAAAATGCTTAATTATTTAAATAATAATAGTAACATACTTAAGTATGTATAAAATATAATTAAGATTATTCAATAATAAGTATATATAGAATACACACATTTAAATTTATGTGTTTACACATTTATGTATTATAATTAAATAACATTATCTCCCATAAGATATATTTTGATATAAATGTTTAACTAAATTATTTATAGATAGTGATAAATGCTTAGATATTACACTCATTTTTCATATTTTATTATAAAAAGAAAACTTAAAATGCAATTATAAAATACATAAACAGTGAAAGGTAATTTAAAGGTAATCTATAACAATAGGCTTGATACATCCCAAATCTTTATAACCCGGTCTTGACCAACTGTTACGATACATTTCCGTTGTAAATCCATTGTTATTGACATTACGCTATGCTTAGCGTCATGGAATGTTGCAAGTGGTGTATGACTAAAAACAAATAAAAGCTCATTTTAAGAAATTAAAAATACAATTTATGATAATTTCACTTACTCTATATTAGTGCTGCAAAATTTACAGACTCTTACTGGAAGCTCAAAGCCCATAGAAGGTATGGTGGATTGTTCTTGGCTACATTTATCACAGAGAGCACGACCACACGCCCTACAATGATGTTGTCTTGATCCAAATTGTTTGCGTTCAAATATTCCAGTTATATTCCACAAAAATGGACGGCTGCAAGACTCACAATTATCTGATTCAGCCCATGGTGGTGTCTATAAATAAAAACAAAAGAATATTAATTGAATATCAACATGTATATTATTATTAAAAAAATTAATAAATTATTACCTTTAAGTAAATAAATAATAAAATTAATATTCTCTACTGTACTATGTTAAAAATATAACGCATACATTTTATCGACTTACTTCTTTTCTTTCAGCATTTAAATCCCAAAATACCAAAACTGAATCTTCACCAGCAGATATTAATTGGTTTTTAGATGATACAAATGCTAAAGATGTTACTCTATTACTGAAAATAAATGTACATAGGTACTTACATTATTGGTCTAAAGTTAATATTGTGGATTACTATAGCATAAATTAATTTAATCTAAACTTCAATATAATTATAATATATAAGTAATAATGCAATTTAAATTATATTAATTTTATAAGATTGCATACGTATGACCGTGAAGTTCGTAAGCTGTGCCTTGGCCACCTCCAATATCCCATACTATAATCAAACGATCATGACCAGCTGAAAACAAACGTCTAGTAGATACATCCCAGGTGAGAGTTTCAATGCAAGCAGTATGACCAGTTAATGTTGTAACAACTTGTAATCCATCAGCCTTTATGTTAAGCATTGTTATATTGCCAGAATAATCTCCAACAAAAGCATGAGCAGATTCTGCATCATATCTGATGAAAGGTAATGTAAGGCAGAATCAAATTTCTTAAAATTTTATCCACTATAAAATAAGATAAAAGCATATAGTGACAAAAATTGTAGAAACTAAAATTTACAACTTGTAAAATAAAGAAATATTTCATTTAGACCTGATTGTTATTACACAAATTTAACACAAAAAATTTGAATTTAAAGGATACTCTAATGATGTACACCATGCTGCACAAACAAAAGGTGGACCAATTGGATTACCATTTTTAGCATTATGATACTGAAATCTCTTATCACGAGATGTACTTAAAATCCATTGTTCTAAAATTCCATCTATAGATACTTCAGTCCAGATCATTCCAGTGATACGACCATAATGTGCTAGGATATCACCTTTAGATTCCATACGATTGAAATCTTCTTCTAGTATAAATTCCTAATCAAACAAAATAATTAATTTAAAATTTAAATTTAATAAACATAATAAAACTAAAGATATAAAATATTTATAACAAATGATACCTTTAAGGAGTATATAAGTCTTTTAAGCTTAATATAAAACAACAATACTAATATTTAAATAAACTATATTTACTAGAAATGATTTCACTTTATTATACTTACTGATATAGTTCCATTTTCTTGCCCAACAAATAATTGTCTAGTGATTGGACGGTAAAATAAATCAACAGCAGGTGACGGCAAGTAATTACAAATACTAGGCCAATATTGACCTGAATCTCTTTTTAACCATACTCTCACAGATCTGAAATTTAAAAAAAAAAAAAAAAAAAAACTATGAAAATAATACAATAAAATAAAACTCACTTAATTAAGTGACAATATAATTAACAACATTCGTTTTTTATTATTGAAAAATGTGTAATATAGTACAAATATATTTAGTATATCTACACTTCAAAAGTTATTTTTATATATATATTTTTTTTGTCAATTCCAACATTAAATATTACAGTAATAAAATTTATTAAATGTCTATGTAAAATATTATAAATTAGTACAATAAGGAAGTCATCCATTAACAACACTTTGTTACTTTATATTTTGAACATCATTTCTAACCTTGAAAATATGTAACAAAAAATTATTGCTCAAAGAATAATCTCTTGATTTTAAGTAAAGGATTCAGCAACTTAATATATCAATTATTTACATTTACATGCTATTGAAATATATTTTTAACTAAAAGAGCATTGTTTAAGAAGGTCCAAAAAAAAAAGCATATTACATCAACTTCTGAGCCCTAATCATCCATCATTTTATCAGTAATAGACATTAAGCAAATACATATTAATATATTAATAATATATAATAATAATTAATATAATTGTTATTCCACATACATGATAGCTTTAATTTTCGATACATACTCAACTGTAATACTACCAAAAGTAATTATTAAATTATAATTTTAAATTTATTATAATTGAACTAAAAGCATCATGTTAAACTTAAATGAAACATTGGATAAACTTTGAATATATTTCCACACATGAATATAAAACTAATTTATCACATTTTAATTAGTATGACATCTGTATAATTTATTTGTAAATTAAAAGAAACTACAATGAATATTGAAATTTGTTGAATTTATTTATCACAACTTCTTTTTTGTAGACTCCAAGCTTTTTTTATATCTAAATACTTAAATGTTTACTAAAATTAAATCTCCATCAATGAAATATAAAAAAATTGTGCATATAAATAACTGTGGCCTGTATAAATTACATTTTTATAAATTTAGTATAATAAATATAATTTATATAATTTTTAATATATTCAATTACGAAGAGGAAATAGTTTTATTATCGATGACCCTTAGAGTTGTAATAACACAAATCACAATGGTAAAATACAGATTGTTAAGCTCTTATGACTTGAGTAAATACAACTCGACTGAACAAGATGGAAAAAAACAAATAGAATTTCTACAATAAATATAAGTTTGAAATTTATACATATATAGATGTACATAAACAATAAGTTAACAATAAAGCAATAAATTGAATAATGCTTAATAGTTTAATGTACAGCACCCCTAAATTAATTATATTTTAATACATAAACTTCGCACTATACGATTTGGTCTGTTAGTAGTACATTTGGTGTGGAACTCAATCCCCTAACATAAATTAAAGACTGATGATGTTATTACCGATCGCTCGAAACACTGATGACACCGTCAGTGTCCGGTATGTAGACGGCTTTGTTCACGTTGTCGCTGCACCCTTCGATTTTGGCCAATAGCACTGGCTTCCGATTCGTATTCAATTTGTCATTGCTCGAGCTAGGCCCTGGTTTGATTTGAGCAGCCATTATACGTGCGATCGGGACACTGACTGTGTTTAAGCGGTAAGAAACCAAGCAGAAAAATGAACGAAACGCGGTGGAAACTAGGTAGGTACGTCTACAACGTCTACACCGTAGCGTACTCGCGCCGTATTCCTCACGTCGATAAGCACCAGGAATCGGAACGGTATGATTGCGCGGAAAACGGTTTTCGGCACAGCACACAAATATCCATAAACGGGTCCCAAGTCGCTGTGTTGCTGCTGCAATACCACACACACACACACACACACACACAAACACTCGCACACGCACGCACGCACACGGCACTCAAATTCGGACTTACAACAGAATCAACGGCTCTTATCACAGCGGCTGTGGCGACGACGGCAATGACGTACCTTATCAGCTCGAACGCAAACGGTCGCGCCATTACTGCAACCGGCGACATGTTGTGTTTCCTCGACAGCACCCTCTTCAGACCGGTCGTCCGATTATCGCGTGTGGATCGATTGATTATTGTCCGTCGCCATCGCCCATAACATTTAATTATTATTAGAGATGAGAAATTCAACTTATTTTGGCAAATCGAATCTTTCAACTCAGCTCAGTTAGATGAGTTTTGTCAGTAAATCGACTCTCAACTCTTCCAACTCTCTTGTTTAAATCCGAAGCTAATCTCGAATGTCAGTTCTCGACTCTCGGAATTCGGAGTCTCAGGTTGACTCGCAAGTCCATAGTCCATATAATATATGATATGATATATATAATGATATTATAATTGTTCACTTGAATCGTTATCGGCCTATTGCTTTCTCATATTATGAAACTAATTACGATTATCCATTGTCATGGATTTTTACTCGGAAATCATGATTGTAATGTACAATATGATTTATTACATTGTACCACATGAGTACCTAATTATATTATACGTTTGGATATGGAACTGTATACTAATAACATAATTGTATAAACATGGCTATCAACAACACTCGAGATCCGTGAGGTGTGTATCAGTTCAGTTAATGAGGTTAATGATTACTTAGCGCGGATTTATATACATTAAAAACCAATCAAATATACGCTAAACAATCTTTAAAAATGCACAAGTATACGCACTAATGTATTAAATTATGCATTAAAAAAAAATGTAATTGATAAATTAAATACCTAGTTAATAATACAAAAAAAACTACATTTAACATTTTGTAACCGTACTGTAAAAACTTTTTTTTATTTCTTTTTAAAGGAATTTACTAACCAAAATCATTTGTTGGTAGTTTTCATCTATAAGAAAAATTGAAATAAATTAATATCAAAAATATAACCTACATGACATATTCTTTCCTGAATGCACATTGCATTGTATGACAATAATTTTAGTTATATTTTCAAAAACCATTGATTGGCATTTGTCTATCAAAAAATTTTTATAACTTAATAATTATCTTTCAATATCTACAAAAGTAATAGGTGTGTATTTAAAAAAATATATCATTTTATTTGGAAATAAATCTTCGCCGGTATGAAATGATTTACTGTCCCCATTCAAAAATTTTAATATTTTAATATGTCGTATTCTTTATTTTGTATTAATACTTTTCTAAATTTTTTCATAAACAGATTTACCCCTTATACTACAATATCTAGTAGGTAAATATTTTAAAAGTATCAAAAAAAAAAAAAATAAATAAATAAATAATAAAATAAATAAAAAAATTAAAATATGCAATTAAAAATGTAAAATTAGCCCTTAAAATAAAAATAAATAGGTAAATATCGAAATATGGCCCCAAACTTTTGGTGGTCACAATATCCATCGCTTTTTTTTGTCAACTCCATAACAGCTCCTGGTTTGCCACTGTATAGGTCCTATGCTATAAGTTGCTCCAGACCCCACTAAACTTTACGATGGCCCTGAGCATATCATACGACCAACTAGAATAAATATGCAAATGTATTTAAATCCGCACTCTAATGATTACTGATTCGTGAATTGAATTGGATAAGTTGGTTGAATTGAGAAGTCGATTCTTGAAATAATAATTCTACTCCCACAGTTAATTTTAAAGAGTCGACTCTGAATCATAGGCGGTTCGACATTTTTCAGTTAGTGGTTCAAGCATAGTTAATACCACCCACCCACCTACCAAAAAGTCATATAAAGTACAAAAACTTACCTAATTATTATTAAACTGCCAATTGTATATTACCTACAGTTAGTGGCGGTTCTTGAGAAGCCACAAGGGGAGGGGGGAGCGAAAACATTTTGCATGTACTTACAATTTGTATAGGTACATATTCCATTTATTTTTTCCTATTAGTTGATACATGAGAAGTAATTTTAAGTTCTAAAAACTTTATACCACAATGACATAACATAAAGATCAATAGAGATCAATATCAATAGAAAAATTAAAACAAAAATTAATTTTTTTATTCAAACTTCATTAACAGACAAACTTCTATAGGATCAAACATTTTTGTAAACAGTAAACAATTTTGACAAAAAATTATCGACAAAATTAAAAACGATTTTTAGTAAACTGCTCATTCATATTTTTAGTTTTTACATGACTCAAGGGAGGGCGGTCCACATTCCCCCCCCCCCCATAAAACCACCACTGTCTACCACTGCCAGATGCCAAGATCAAGTACCCACCTATAAAAATGACACCCATCCCAAAATATTTAGTGGTTCAGTGAACCACAAAATTCATGATCAAGCCGCCTCTGCTCTGAGTTGGCTAGCTCATGAACTACACATCCCTACTTACTAGTCAGTAGTGTCAACATTCAACATATGAATAACATAATTATTGTCCAGTGTCCACTAATAATACGCAATGCATTCATGCAAGTGATGTACTAATGTTAATAAAAATATTACATCATATACTCCCTATAGTTTTTACATGTTTATATAACATTACGTGTATTTCAAATTAAAAACAAACATAATTTTTTAATTTTTATCTTATAATGAATAAACCACCAATATAATAAAACTTTATAAATACACTTTAGTTTCATTATATTTTATCAAATAAAAAATAAATTTCACAACTTGAATTATAAATGTTTAGTATTTTTATAATTTTTAACATTATAAAATAACACTTTATTAATAAAAAAAACAATATCACAGATTAGATTGTATTAATAAATAATCAAAAAAAAACTTTCTCTAAAGTTGAAATTATAATATGTTACCTATTAATATCATGCTTTCTCTCTTATATTGAAAAACTCCCTTGAGTTTTGCTTTTAATTATTACAGCTGAAATTTTAAAAAAAATCAACACTACAATAGTGTACAACACTACAACACTACAATATGACTACAATAGGTGCTAACCATTCGGTATTTCACTTCCATGGACTAAAGCCTTATTTCAATTGGTGAAATTATATATAAAATAAAATAAGAAGAAAAATAAGTTACATTTACGATTTATTAATAATTCAATATAGAAAATTTCCCATGTTTTTAAAAGTACGTAAACAAAATGGTACCAATTATTACAGTGCATTTTTTAAGGACTGAGCGACAGTTTTTTTTTCTCTCAAAATATTCTGTTTACTTAATGGTGTGATGGTAGTATTTGACATTTGGTCTGCATAATTTTATCCAGCCTTTCAATCGACTGGACGACATATGTGTCGCCTAGTCAACTAGTTTAAAAAATGCACTGAATTATTAAATTTAATCTACGGTCGATATATGTTTATTATTTCGATATTTCAATATATTCGAGATGAAAAATTACTTTAGTTTAAAGTTTAGGACTTGTTGAAGAAGTTGTAAAATGCATAGAACAAGTACAAAGACCATTAGGAGTTGCAGTAAAAGAAAAAATGCACAGTGTATTAAACAAAAATCCTAGTTTAAACTGTCTAAAATTAATTAGATATATACATTGCCAAATGAATGAGGTAATATTGCAGAATGAGCTCACTCCTTTGGACATTAAAAATATGAAATTTGCACCCATTACCTCTGTTAAATCGAGCGCTTCTTTAGTCGGTACAATTCTATGTTACGACCGAACCGTAGATAATTTAACTTTGAAAATTTGAACATTTATATAGTATCTCATTGCAAGGTTCAATTTCATAATAATTTCAATTCAAGTGTCTTAATTTTTTTATTTTCTTTTTGTAATTTTATAAAGCGATTTTTAATTTTTTTTTATATTCCATATTTTCATTTTATTATCACATATAAAGTGATTTGTTATAATATAACAATATATATTATATTTAAATATTTTATTTTATTTTTTTTTTTAATTCATTATTATTCGTATTTTATTCGTTCTAAACCGCGTCCACACTAATAAAAATTTACGTTGTGTGTCAAATCTAATATTCGCCGCAAATATTTATACTGAAAATATTTTTAAAAACAAATTCTCGTTTATAACTTATAATCAAATATTTTCATTGTGCGCTGAGTGTTCGTCATCAATAATAATTCGCCATAATCATATTGTTTTCTGCTTTGATAGAAATGTTTCATTCAATAATACCTGGATTTTTTTTCTTCTTTATTTTGATTAAATTATGTATAATAATGTAAGTCACATATTTTATTTATTATTTTTTCATTATAACTAATTCATCAGACATAATCAGTTTATCATGCAGTTTAGTTACTATTTATGATTATTTTTGAAACAGAAAAATATAAATAACACGTAAATACGTCCACACTAGAATGTTGCGACGCAAAAAACCCATAGCTGACGAATCGCGTATGTGGCATGCGCCGAAAATATTTGTGTGCACTATTATGCGGTGAGCAGTGTTCACTGAACACGTCCACACACGCACACATTTAGTGCTGCACAAACAAATGTATGCCGAATACAATGCACAACGTACTACTAGTATTACTAGTGTGGATTCGGCTTAAAAGTTGATTACAAGGTATATGAGGTGTTTACGAACATTTTTACCAACAAATATTAAATTAACTCACTATATGAACAGCTGGTTAATGATTATTAATACAATATTATGAATCTTTAGAGTAATTTTGAAGATGTTGAAATATAAACAAAACAAATTTGTCCAATATTTCATTAGCCCATTTTTTATTTCAAGTTAAACGTTTTTCGGACTTCATCATTATATACTTAATAGTAATTTTTTATTTATATCTCCGTTTTTCGACTCTAATGTCGACGAAAATCAAAAAACAACATTAAACATGAATAGCTTTATCATTTTGACGATAATTATAAAAATAATATACATTAAAACCCGTTTAAGACAATCTTGTTTAACATTCCCCACTTATACGTTCAGTTTCACGATTTACTTGATTTTTACAACTTTCGTTTCCAGATAAGACACTTTCTGTGCAAATTATGTTAAATTATAGTTTTAAAAAATGTATCTTATTAATAATTAGTACAATAATATATACGAAACGTAAATATACGTTGTACGGTATAAATTTTAATGAATAATAATTACTCTTTATCGAAAATTTACAAAAGCAAACGAAAATAGATAATTGTCTAAAGTATATGAAGCAAAATATGAATATGTAATATGTAACAAAATATACGTATTGATAAATGTGAGACAAATATATTTTTTAAAGTAGCTTATGTTAATAATATAACTGCAATAATAATTCTCATTGTAAAGTAAACATTTTGTACGTCATTTGTATTTTCCGCTATTAAGCCTATTAACGATTTATTTTTATTTTTATTTTTAAGGTACGATCCTATGACACGTCTGATGAAGCGGTCCTTAGAAGACTATTTTAATTTGTAATCTGCTCCGTTTCCCGTGTCTGGTTGTACCACGCCTTCATACGGTCGTCGGTCGTTTACGGTATCTGCACGCGCTTGAGTGAACTGTTGTCGTGTCGACTGTTGTGATCACTAGTGGAACCGCTGCGTTATCCGATAAGCCGCGTACCTTCAAAGACTCAGTATGTGCAATTTAACAAAAAATATGGAAAATGGCCTCGATCTTATTTCTCATTCGTCGGGAGACGGTGTCCGCTGATAACCGATTGTCCGTCGTGTCCGTCTCAATGAGAAATTTATGATATACACTCGCGAAATGCACCATCGCACGTGAACGATTATTACGATTGTTACAAACCGCCAGTAACTAGAAACTTCATGTCAATCATTAATACGGGGTTTTTCGGTAAAAACCAACAAATACAACGCAATCAATATCATTAGGCCCGAGGCCCGATCAAATCACGTTCACAATGTTGACAACCACTCACGCACACACGGTGGTCAATGCATCAATACGTGCTTCATAATAACGCGCGTCATGTGTTATTTCACTAATTCGCGAGTACAATAATAAAGGTTGGAAGGAACGTCCCAATTATGTGTATTTTTTTTTAAAGTAAATCGCGACGTCTTTGTGGTCATATTATACTTTTCAACTTGTTCTTAATTTAATTTAGTCATTGTTAACGCGGTTAAAATTGAATTTCTGCTACATGTCTTCTACTTAAGGTAAGTTGTATTTTCTTTTTTATTATCTTATAATACTTTCTTTATCATACTCAATGATTTCACATCAGAATGGCCCTGATTAAGTCATCCCCACAGTATTTTTATTAAATAATTTCTTGTACAAAACATTTCTTATGTTATTGTTTGTTAGTTATTGTTTTAATAAACTCTAATATGATATTAAATGTTTTTATTATAAAAATACCTATATAAATAGTTTAGTTAGACATAGTAATAATAGCATAATTATAGTCATTTTAAATTAATTTTTTTAATGTTTAATAGAGAGAATTTACATTTTAATTATTTTGATTTATTCTTTTACAAAAAGTTATTAATTTCCCCAATCTATTCAAATCAATTCTAAATAATTTGCTCTAGGATTAATAAATATTGTTGATTAGTCTATCTATTCAATGATAATGATACCTATATTATTTTATACAGGGTGGGGCTTACAAATAAGCTAATTTATTACCAGGTTAAAAATAAATACAGTCCTCTTAAAATACAGTTCTCTAAAAATATATTAAAGATATTTATTATTATATGTATAAAAGTTATTATATTTTAGGTGTCTTTTCTTAGAGTTTTGTTTCAATTATCACGTAATGATTTTTGAAGAAATTATCAACATTTTTGTTAATATAAGAAACCTTTATAGTATATAATTAATCATTTTTAATTTAATTAATAGCATTAAAAGTAAATCTCATACTTATACTTCATGAATATTTAAAAATAAATAACGGGGTAATTTACAAGTAATACTTATTTGGTGTTGAGTTTGAATTATTAAAAATATTTAACATAATTTGAAAGTTAAATGTGACTACTTCTATGACTTAGATTTGACAGTGTCCAATATTCCTTTATGTATTCAGGTAATATTATTTTTATTATATTAGTCTTTTTTTAAATATAAAGATTTCATACTAAGGCCTTGTCATGTCTTAATTGTTTGGATTAACAGTCATTCAATGTATTAAGTTAATTTTTTATTTATTGTTAAATAAATAATTTAAATTTGAGTATATTGTTTATTATTTGTTGTTGTACCTAACAAAAATATATATATATATATATATATTCAAATTATTTTATTTCCTAATTGTATTGCGATGAAAACTGAATATTATTCTTAATCAAAAATCTGTTTTATACACAATTTAACCCTTATAAATTCAATAGTTTATTTGTAAATTTATGTCTATAAAGAGTAATTTTGTGGAGATAAAATAGTCCGTTGATTGATAAGCTATTAACTGAAATTTCTTGTTTGTTTCAGAAGTAAAATTATACATTGAGTTGGTATACCTATTTTCTAGTATGTCTTAATTTTATGTTCGAAATACAAATAATAAAAAAAATGAATGAAAATATAGATAAATTGTTCTCATTCATTTGAACCATTGGTTTCAAAAAATAATTCTAACAAAAGAGACATTTATAATCTTGTATTCAATTTTCAAGTAATTCTTTTATTTGCAATTTTGTAATCGTATACACTAAAAAAATATATTATGGTAAAACCAATAAATTTCTTGCTTTACTAAGAATCTTAAATAATACCTACTTCATATCCATTAAGATATTTTTAAAATCATATACTGAGTAATTTTTTAGCATGCTCACTCATTTTAATATTTAAATTATGCATTTATTAAAATTTTGAATCATGAAATATACATATATATATATTTCATAATTCAGATATAATTTAATATTGTATTGTTATTCTGAACTGCTTCAAGATAACTTGGATTTATTGTAAATGTTTATCATAAATCACATATTGTAAAAAAAAAAAAAAAATACATGAGTATGTTAATTATTTTACACATTTTATACACAACTGTATACAAAATTGATTAATTCTGAATGAAATGGTCCAATTTTTAAAGATTTATAAAAAAATTCCAGCTGAATAATTACATTAAATAAATGGTCTTCCTATTTGGAAAATAAAAATTGATATTTCTATAGGATACACCTTTAGATTTATATAAAATTATATTTTCCATAATTTAGAATTTGAAATTTGAATTTATCCATAGTTAAAGCATAAAAAAAAGGAATGAGTATGCATAAAAAATTTTGTTTTCTGTCCCTTACAAAATTTAAATATTTATAGGAAATAAATTTTTTGTTCAATTTATTTATTCTCAAGAGGTTACTAAAGTGGTCAGTTTTATTGAACATATTATTCCTTATTTGCTGAGAATATATTTTATGATTAACACATTTCCTCTTGTTACTTATACTAATTTTAAATTATTTTTCATTAATTTCCTAATTAAGTATGAGTAAAAATATCGTAAAATTAAAAAAAAAGTAGATTATTTATAAAAATAACTTTTTTTAATGTAAAAAACATTGCATACCTACATTTCCCTCAATCTTTAATTCTAATTGTATTCTGCATTCTGCTTAAATTTTACTAATTAATATTAATTGATAAAATATTAGACATTTAAATTAATTTTATTATTGTTAACATTTCTTTAAATATGTTTACAATTTTTAAACTCTATATTAATAATGTGCAATTTTTATAAATTTAAAGTTAAAAAAGTGTACCATTTGCTAAAACAATTCAAATTCTTATGGATATATAACTAAAGTTTTTACTTTATAATCTATCAAGATAATAGAATAACTAGATTTGATTAAAAATTGTCTTAGGTATAAAAAAAACTATAGTATAGTTATGAAATTAAAAATTGATTGAATTGAAAATCAAATATAGTATTTGAATATACAAATACTTGTGTACTTATTCAAATGTAGGATTTAAATTTTTAGTATTTCAAGTTAAATATAATAAATGAATATTTCTGTTTCAGATTCTAATGGTTTATTGTAAAGCTACAATAAAAATTACAAACATGATACGGAATACAGTAGTTGTAAGTAATTCATCAAAAGACATCCTTGTAGAAAATTAATATTACAATTTTCAACTGAATTAACTAAATACAAATATTATTTTAAATTTTTAAATATTTTTATTAAAAACAAAATAAATAAATAAATAAATAAACTGTTCATAAAATAGTTACTTATGAATGGGAATGAGTCATAGAAATGCTCCCTGCAGTGGATAGAAAATGCAATACATCTATAAAAGAAAAAACTTTTCGAAAGATAAAAGAAAAAAAGAAACACAAAATAAAACATAAAACATACAAAAAACATTGTGCACATACTTCAAATAGAAATTTAGTCCAATATTCAGACGTCAGTTCTGAAGAGCTAAGTAGTCCAGAGGCAGGTGAAATCCATAGTGATTTTGATGAGAAACATGGTATATTTCGTTTGAATCATAACAAAATAATTACTAATAATATACGTATCACTAGAGTAACTTCACCTCAAAATCTTTTAGTGGACTGTTCTCCTCTTAGTAATCATTGGGACCTGGATTCAATACTAGAAGATTCTCCAATGTCTACCAACTTAAGTTTAAATAATTGTATAGATATGACAGAAGTAGCACATTTAAAAAGCAAAAAAAGTAAAAAGTTGAATAAAAAGCCTAAAAGTCCTGGTTCAAAAAGGAGAAAAAAGAAGAAGGATTTAAAAATTAATATATTACCAGACTGTGATAATAGTTATAATAAGTATTCTAAGCAATCGAATTTGGAACTTTCCAAACATAATGGTGATTTTAACGAATCCATTAACAAAAAAAAAACTGTTGAGGAGTCACATACTCCACCTTTAACAAAACCAGCTCAAATCAGAATTTCCAAAGTTGAAGTGACCCACAAAGAGGAAGAAAAACACTCCAAACATCTTAAAAAAGAAGATAAAAGGTAACAAATGATGACCGGCTATTGTTAACAAAATAACATTGGTTTCAGTATAATATTTTATAAGCCTGTATATTTTTAAGGTTTATCAAAGTATTTATTATGTTTTAACACAACATTTATTAAATATCTAATTTTATACTAATATTTTTAAGTTGGACGAAGAGCCCGCCATTATTAAATATAGCAATAAGAAAAGAATACAGTCGAACTCCTGAACCAGCAGATAGTCGATATAATTATTGTTCTCGAAGTGTTTTGAAACTAAATAGTCGGTCTGTATTCTAAGTATTGTAATTAGTTATAATTATTTTAATATAACTTGATTTGCAGTGATTCTAAAAAACGTATGGACGAATATGATAGATATGACACTGATGGACTGAAATCCTCAAGAACTCGTGAGAAGTATGAGAGGAGTAGAGTACGAAGAAATAAATCTGACAAAGAAAGATCACCAGTTCATAGTCACAGGTATATTATTTATAAATATTTTATTCATTTTGCAAGTAATATCTATTATATTTAAACCACAATTAACTTAATGATCATGCATTTTGTATACAAATCTTGAATATTAGTCTATTCATGAATATTTTCAATTAATGTATGTCATTTTTATTATTATTAATATACTTATCTTTATTTATAAAAATGAGTACTTGGGATCGGTTTGTCTGATATTTTAATATCAACAATAAATTATACTATCACTCAATTAATTAATAATATTAATTGTTATTATTTATTCAAGTAATCTTAAGCTATTAGGAAAATTATATGAATCAAATTGTGTAATTTTAATATTTTAATAACTTATATGTACATTCAGAATTCTTATCTGGATAAGAGAAAGGCTACAATTAATAAAATAACTCAATATTTTATGGATTCAATTAGTTATAGTACTTTCAAATTGTAATTTGTTGCCCAGGGGCAGATCTAGATTCAGGGGGCCAGATGATCCACATTTAATATTTGTTGACAAAATTGGCCTCTTGGAAATTTTTTTCTCTTTTTAGACCTTGATTTGGACTCTTGGATAGTTGGCCCATTGGAGTTACTTGAAAAATGAATGCCTTATATATTCAAAATTTAAAATTTTTCAATTCATAATTTATATTTTAAATTATAATATCGTTTTAGTAGAAAGTTAAGTAAATCATATTTTGTTCCGTACATTTGTTGCACTGATAAAATTAGATTATATTTATTAATCGTAAATAAGTCATTATTGGTAGTATCACTAATTTTAAAATGTAATATAAATATACTTATACATTTTTATGAGCATATTATGTTTTTTTTTTTTTTTACAAGGTATAAATTTCTAATTCAGTTTCTTATAAATGACCTCTTAAAATGGTTTGATCCACAGTTCCTCGATTCTGGATCTGCCCCTGTCGTTGCCCAATGATTTATAAAAAAAATATACAAATTTATAGTCTATATTATTTTATTGTTATACTTTAAATTATGATTATATTTTTGAGTTAGTTGTAATTATGTTATATATAAAGCTCTTGCAAACTTTTTAAGGGGTTCAGTATAAGAAATTATATTAGTGTTTACTTGCAAACCATATATCTGTGTGCATTGTAAATTATCATTAGTGTTGATGCAAAATTTCAAGTTCAAATACTTATTTTTAAAAATTGTGGTACCAAATTGTTCACACAAATGAGTACAATTTATAAGGACCGTTGTATTGAAATTTCTAACTTTTTCAGCTAATAAACATTTTATTATTGACATTTTATATTAAAAAAAAATTAAGAAAACTATTAAACTAATAATTGTGAATTTAGAAAAAACAAGCATTTTCTGTAGATGTTTGGTGGGAATAAGGAAAATATGATTAAGTCAGATTTATGAGTAAAATATTTAAATTATAAATTAAACTTCTATTTCATATTGTGACACCTCAAAAAAAGTAATGTACAATCGACTATCGAGAAATCGTAGTAGCTATATTATTGATGTTTTAAAGTTGATCGGACGTTATTTGTAACGTTCCATATCATCATGTTATTATTATTATCTATTATATTACGAATAATATTCATATTTCATATCAATCAGCCGTTTCGCGTGTTCAAGACAAACCATTTTTTTTTCCTATGTAGAATTTGTAAGAATCTCAGAAAAATTTGGAGGGGAGTTTACAACCCCCAAACCCCACCCGTAGTTGCGCCACTGCTTGCGCTAACCGTAAAACGCGACGCTCGTCTTAACTTTTTTTAAAATATTTTAATACTTTTGGATATTCATTTTACAACCACTCGTGCAGGTTTGATATCACAATAATTATTCGATTTATTATAAGTAAGCTTAGGGAATTCTAGAATTTGCATATTTTTTGATTATTGTTAAATATAGCAGAGTGTGAAATAAATTCGTTTCTCGGTGCTATGATATCAGATCTAAAATTTGAATGTGCATATTTTTGCATATTAGATAGATTTTTTAGGAGAGTGCATATTTTAACATTTTTATGTTTATTTTGGATATTTTGACAAATTTCTCAATTTTGTTATTTTAAATTAAAAACTTTATATATATGTATATACGTCGAATCATACGTAAAACGTCGTACGCGATAATTTGTAACATTGTGTAATGCCGAAAGTACAATCTACGAATAGTCGATTACAAAGTTTAGTTTCGGAGTTTAAAAATATTTTAATAAATCAGATGGACACGTTTTATTTTGTGTACTATGTGGTTTTTTTTTTATGCATTTAAATGCATATTTTAATCATTTTAGAAGCATATTTATATTCAAATTTGTGTATTTTTAGAGCTATAAGTCCCTAAGCCTAATTAATTAAATTCAATTAAATTAATTAAATTAAATTGAAACCGCTGTACCATATCTAAACAATTTTTATCAGTGACTGTCGCGCGTAATCGACGCCTCGTTTCGGCGAAAATGGGAGAAATTGGCCTCGAGTATGCGCGAGAGCGATATGTTGATATGCGATATGTCTTTTTTGAAACGGAGTTTAGTCACCGGGATCCAAAATATCCGTATATTTGGTTGCCGTATTTTAACATAGCATGAGCTAGCTATCTACACATATGTGTGTTTAATCTATGCCGCGAACAGTTCAGAAAGTATGTTTTTTTTTTGCTAAAAGTATGTACTTTTTGTCAATTCTACCGATCAACCTATTAAGTTATTAATGCGACAAGATTTTTAAAAATTTATTTAAATTCATTATTTTGTCTACATGGGATCAATCTGACCATATTTCAAGTTTTCTAATTTTAATTTAGAACAATCAAAATTTAAAATTTCTTAATTTTAAAAATATTCAAACCAAATTTGTAGGTTTTTGGCACCAAAATTTGAAAAATTAGACTAATCGATCTCTAGTACACGTATTTAAAAATTTAAAACAATTTCCAAAAGTCTTATCTCATTATTCTGTCGATCGGTATGATTGAAAAAAGATAGGTATGTTTTGATTGAAATAATTGACTGTTTGCTTGGGCCTTAATGAAAATCTTGAAAACTTATTTGCAAATATTTAATTTTTTTTTCTCGTATATTTTATTTTGTTGTATATAAAATATAAATATTGAGCACGGCATGGCAGAGTGGTTGATGGATCTTTCATTAATCAAGTCACTTGCCTGATCACTAGTACTATATATAGTATCCATTAGATTTAATTATTTAACGTGCCATGCTTTTACGTGCATCCAACATGCCCTTAACTTGTAAATGAGTATACAATACTGATCAACAGAAAAATAATATTACCTATCTATAGTTATATAATTTATATTATTAATATTATAGTTGAAAGTATTAAAACATTAAATATTTGATTTCAGATTATCAAGAAGTCCTATTCGAGATCGTCGACAATATGAACATGTGAGGAGAACTTCCAAGGGATATTCTCGGTCTCGATCACGTTCTCATTCTCATTCACATTCTCCTCATTTGCCGAGGCATGACCATGTATATCACTCACCAAAACGTGGACAAAAATCTCCGCCACGTACTACATCGAAAACCTCGAAGCACACGTCTCATGTATCACGTGTAGTATCACCTCATAACCCTCGTTCTTCTAAAAAATCAAGTCATACTAGGCCCAAATATTCACGATCTCCTTCAAAAAATATTCATAATCATAGTAGATCTTCTTCCCCAGTAAAGGATGCAAGAGCTAACAAAAAACATTCTGATAGCGATTCTCCTGAAGGTTATTCTTCAGTTTCTAAAAAAAAGAAAGAAACCAAAAGTCCAGCTAAACAATTTAATCCTAAAGTAAAACTTAGTGAAACAAGTCTCTTTGCCGAATTAGTTAAAGATCGACAGATGCGAGAATTGGCTATGAAATGTTTAACCCAAGTAAATACCAAGACTATTAATGAAAATGAAGTAGTTGAAATACATGATGATTCTGATAATGAACAAAATAATACTAATATAAAGGATTCGAATATAAAGGATTCAAATTTAAAATTATTAAATAATATCTGTGATGATATTGATTCTTGTAGAACAGTTGAAACTTACAACAAAAGAACTCAAAATTCTGTATCTGAATTTGAAACATCTAATATAAAATCAGTCACATCATCAATATTAGACTTAGCACCTACAATATCAGTAGAAAATCAAAGCCCATCTGTATCTAAAGAAGAATTTTTAATAAACGGAGTAGACAATTTTTTAGAACCTATTCCTACATTAACATCAATAATAACATCACCAGATAAAAAAATGCCAGAAGTAATTGAAAATAAAGATTCGATCTCTAAAATGCCACTACCAATGCCCCCTGTTTATCCTATACATGATGAATTATCTCCAGATTCCGAGTATAAGAGTTCGAGAAAAAGCATAAAAGATTTACCCTTACCACCAGGTAAGTTTGTTTATATTTATAGTATTACTTAAATTTATAATTAATGTCTTTATATCATTTCTTATGAGTTTTGGAATGTGAACATTAAGCTTTCCTGCTCATTCATCATTTATTGCATTTCATCAGATTGAGCAATTCCTATGTGCAAGTTAATTTTTCTTTTCATTTTTTTGTTTACCATTAGCAAGATGACATAAGAATGGTAGAACATATTCAATTATTAATTTTATTTCTAAAGAAAAACAGTTTAATTATTGAAATATATTAAATTAATATTATTAAATAAAGATAACCAGTTGGAGTTGGTGTGCATTAGGGGTCGGCTCTAAGTCCTTATTTATTCTCTGTAATAATGGATGAAAATATGAAAGACTAACAAAGGCGAGATACCATGGTATATGATGTTTGCTGATGATATGATTTTGGTAGGAGAAAATCTAGAAGATATAAATAATAGGTTGGATGAGTGGAGGTTAGCTCTTAAAGGAGAAAAGGATTAAGAATTAGTAAAAATAAAACAAAGTATATAGAGCATGACTTTGGAGGAAGATACCAAGAAGTTAAGGGTATGAGGAGACCAATAACAATGAGTGGTGTCATGATAGGTGAAGTTGAGAACTTTAAACATTAAGGATCATTTATACAAAAGGATGAGGGCTTTAATATGGATGTAAAACATAGGATTAAGTATGGTTGGATGAAATTGTGAGAAACGTTAGGTGTTATTTGTGATGAGAGAATTTCATTGAAGCTGAAAGGTAAATTTTACTTGAGTGCAGTGAGACCAACTATGCTAAATGATTCGAAGTTTTGGGTGGTTGACAGGAGAATAGAACAGAGTATGAGTATTGCTGAGATGGATGAGCGGAGTGGCAAGAGAAGATAGAATAATACAAGAGGTAATATTGATGTAGCGTCTATGGTTGACAAGATGAGATAAAATAGACTGAGATGATTTGGGCATATGATAAGATGAGAAAAAACGAAATCAGTAGGAGTTGTTTAGAAAATTAACGTTGAAGGGAAAAGAGGAAGAGGAAACCAAAAAAGATATGGTTGGATACAATTGAGAATGATATGAGTGGGTGATATGTGTGCGTAAAGGATGCAAAAAATTGAGATGAATTGAGGTTTAGGACAAGGTTAGCTAGCCAAAAATAGTTGGGTGAAAGACGAATGAGATAAGAAAAAGAAAGATAACCAGTTTACTATTTGAATTATTTAAATTCAAACACAAACTTACTTTAAGTATTTCTTTAAATGAAAATGATAAAAATAATATTAAGCTTCATACTTACATCAAAGAACATAAATATAATTTTAAAAATTGCGTGATCGTTGTTAATTTTAGTTAGGTATATGAATTTAAATAAATTTTTTATCAATAATATAATGACAATTACAAAGTAAAATAAATGTACATATTTTATGTAACAGTTTTTAATTTAATTTTGCTAACATAATTAAAAATATTATTATATAGTTCATGAGTTCTCATATTTTTGAAGTCTATGCCTTCCCCGTCGTTATACTATTATATTAGATCATTCTTTCCTTACCATTACAAAATTAAAGTACAATTATAATTTTAATGAAATTTTTTTTTAAACAAAGTGTATTATAATAGTTAAGTAGCTTTTTAAATATATAGGTGAATATTACGTAATACACATATTTCACATAACATAACAAAAAAAATATGTTTTTATTTCAAATAATTAAAACCTTTATATATTAAGTATATAAATTTATAAACTATGCATTACATTTTTTCCCTAAGTTATATTATATATTAATTCACAAATATTTAAGTAATCATATTTTCTATTTTTATTTCTTTTAAAAATTAAACTATTAGAATTTTAAATTTAACATGAAACATAAGATTATCAATCAATTAAATAAATAATGTAATTATCAAAAACAACATTACCTATTATAATAGATATGTTTATATTTAAATTATAATATATTTTTAAAAATTTGTTACACGTTTTCATATTTAAAATTTTCGTTTTCAACAACACAAATCCATTTAACTTTATGTAGAACTAGGATTGCCTCAAGAGAGTGATTAAAAATGTGTTGATGCGTCTTGAGATTATATTTTTCCTCTCATGTATTAACAATATGTATTATTAATTACATGACTCATGATACTTTTGTGAAAAATATTATGAGTACAACATTTCTAGGAAGTTGACATTAGGTTTTCTGAGGTAAAACAATAAAAATAAATCTATAAATTGCTACTTAGTAACTCACAGTCCTAAAGATTTTTGTCTTCATTGATATTATTATTTCAATGTCAGGTGTTTAAATCCATCACAGATTATATAACTCATGTTGAACAATGCTCCTACGTTAATTTAAACGAAATTTTTTTCAATTTAATAGTGGTTTGTTTTTGCTTACATTGAATCACGAATTTCGATATCGAGGACTAGACATGATATGGTTCCGATATGGTGTTTATGAGTGTGTATAATTAATATAACAGCTTACGTGCTAATATACTTATTTAATTTATTCTGCGGTAGATGCTATAAGGTGATAATGTTGATATGATTGAATCTCCCCGTTCATACAATGTATATAACATGATAAAATGTTCATTTCTAGTCCTCATAATCATAGCTAGTGCATTAATTTCCCGATTTAATTTAATGTCATATGAGTCTATATGTATGTTTATTGTATTATATTATTTTTATACCGTTTTATTGTTATATTTTTTAAATTAAAAAAAAAAATAGTATTTGTAGTTTTATTTATAAAATAATAATTCAAATGTTTTGGATTTTTAGGATCTGTTTCAGATTCAGTAAATACTGATGATAAAAAACTTTCTTTAGCAGAAATAGTTATGCATCCTTTGCCTGATTTTCAACAAAATGCTATTAAAAGATCTATCATGTTAGGCTTGGGATCAGGATTCCAACAAAGCTTTTCATTTACTTCCAATACAGAACGACTCACTCGCCCTACAGATCCCAATATTAAGATTAAGCGACCTAGAGTAATTCATCGAAGACGGGGTGCAAAATCTGCTGCAGCTAGTCCTATTGATTGGGGAGAGCAATGTGTTGATATGTTTGAAGTAATCAATCAAATAGGTGAAGGAACATATGGTCAAGTATATAAAGCAAAAGATAAAACTACAGGTATGCATTTTAGAAATATTTAGTAAATTAAATAAAATTTATATCCAACACAGAATAGATATATTTTAAGGTTTTTACCTATATATAATAATTGACCAACAATAAATGTATAATAATACACATTTCATTAAAAATTCGTACTTAGATATGTGTATATAATGTGCATATTGTGATATTTTATATAGCATGAACATCCAAGTTCTACTTATATAATGATTTATTTATATTGTATTAATAGGCACATTTGTAGCACTGAAAAAGGTTCGCCTTGAAAATGAAAAAGAAGGTTTTCCAATTACTGCTGTTCGAGAAATAAAAATTTTACGACAATTAAATCATAAAAATATTGTTAATCTCAGAGAAATTGTTACTGATAAACAAGATGCTCTCGATTTTAAAAAAGTAAATTATTATACATTTATTTTTTATTTCAAATTTTATGATTTTATTTTTTTATAATGTATTATTGATATATAGGATAGAGGGTCATTTTATTTAGTTTTCGAGTATATGGATCACGATCTTATGGGACTGTTAGAATCTGGAATGGTAGATTTTAACGAGATGCATAATGCTAGTATTATGCGACAGTTGTTGGAAGGTTTAAATTATTGTCACCGTCGAAATTTCCTTCATAGAGATATCAAATGTAGTAACATCCTGATGAATAACAAGTAATGTGATAATTAAAAACAAATTATTTTACTTAATTTAATTGCTTGTATGATAGATTAAAATGAATTAACTTTTAGATCGTAAAATACTATGATAAAATAAATACAGTACACTCTCCGTCATCCAACACATTTCAGACCACGTTACTGTCGGATTATCGAAAACGATAGATTAACGGGGGTTCACATAAAAAACAATTTCGTTGTTGCGATATTTTAATGTAATTCGTAATAAAACACTATATCTAACTGGTTACACATTGAACACACTGATTAACACCGGATTGCCGAGATTGTACTGTAAATATTTTTAAATAAAATAATATGATTACATTTTTAGAATTTAAACTAAATGTAATGTAGTAAGTATCAGTTTCAATCAACCGTTTTAATTATTTCGTTTGTAAAAAGCTATTACTTATCAAAAATATTTCATTTTTTTAAATTGCAGAGGTGAAGTGAAGTTAGCTGATTTTGGTTTAGCTAGATTATATAACGCTCAAGATAGACAGAGACCATATACCAATAAGGTGATTACACTATGGTATAGGCCACCTGAATTATTACTTGGTGAAGAGAGGTATGGTACATCGATAGATGTTTGGTCTTGTGGATGTATTTTGGGTGAATTGTTCTTAAAAAAGCCTTTATTTCAGGTAATATATATCTAATAATATATTATGTAATTAGTATTACCCAGTTTTATACTTAGTATCATTTTAAAATAATATTTTGTTATAGGCTAATGAAGAAATGATGCAATTGGAAACTATATCTCGTTTATGCGGAAGCCCAACACCAGCTGTATGGCCTACTGTTATTAACTTACCTTTCTGGCATTCATTAAAAGCCAAAAAAGTTCATCGTCGTCGTATACGTGAAGAATTTACATTTATGAATGATAGTGCTTTGGACCTTTTAGATCATATGTTAGAATTAGATCCTAGCAAACGAATTACTGCTGACAAAGCTCTTAAATGCAATTGGTTGAAAAATGTTCAACCTGATAAGTTAGTACAGAAGTGATAATATTTATTAAACAAATTTACAGATATTTTATTTACCATTTGTTTCCAGTTTAATATTTCTGATTATAGATAATTTATTTAAGCTGATAATACGAAGTTTGACAATTAAGCATTAAGACTGAGGCGATAAAATTCTATATTTAAATATTATTCAATTACAAAATGATCCCCTTAAAAGTAGTTTCCTTTTGTACTAAAAAGGCGACTCCAGTGATTTTTCCATGCATTTTAGCAATTTTCTAAATTTTCAACCGGCATGTATATCATCCTCACACAGCCGTTTGGATATCCTCAATCGTCTTAAAATGCGTCCCTTTCACAATACTTTTGACTTTGAGAAACAAAAAGAATTCGCATGGGGATAGATCTGGTAAATAGAGCGTTTGCGGTAACACTGGAATCTCTTTAGAGATCAAAAACTACGTGACACTGAAGACAGTGTGGTAAGGCGTGTTGTCGTGGTGGATAATCCAATTTCTCGCGATATCTGGACGCATTCTGTCGACCCTTTTTCGAAGTCTTTACAATACAGCACAGTAGAAGACCTCATTAACAGTCTGTCCAGGTAAAATGAACTCCTATGAACCACCCCATGGCTATCGAAGAAGCAAATAATCATGGTCTTCACTTTTGATTTGCTCAATCTTGAGGAGGGGTGCCACTTTATTATGTACAAATGGTCAATGCTGCAGTATTATCACAAGCGTGGAAAAAAAATCAGTCTCATTACTTAATTTTCAGACTTCGTATTTAATATCCTATAATATTATAATAAATATAACTTACTTTATGTAGTTAGTTAATTATTAACATTGAATAAAGTAAATAAAAGTAGTATAGTATTTGTATGGGATGCCTTAAACCTCATAGTATTTGTTTGGCAACATTTGACAACAGTAAATATCCTATATATCCTACAATCCTTATAGCATATGGCACCTGGCATGTTACTATAGTAATAATTTTGCGCTTAGATGTACACCATTGAAGGGTCTAAGTCATGTTCTTTGTTATTCTAGTCCAACGCCAAATAAAATTTCACAGATAGTTGTTATGTTTTATGTATAACTAATGCTTTTACTCTTAAAATATAAAATTTTTATATTCCTCTTAATTTATATATAAGTATAAATATTATTATTATTTATTATATTTTATCAAGCAATATGTTTACAATTATTTTTGCAGAATGGATGTTACAGCATTACCAACATGGCAAGATTGTCATGAGCTTTGGAGCAAAAAAAGAAAACGAGATCAAAGGAGAGAAAACCAACCTAGAACTAATGAAACTGGCGAACCATTAATTGCCATGGGGTAGGTTAATATTTGAAGTTTTATTTTATTTTATATATATATAGTATACTTATTATTTTTGTTCTTAAGATATCCTACTGATCTACAAAATAATTCAGTTGATGGTGTAAGGTCAAATAATGAAACTAATACCAATGAGGCTGAAAGTGATACTGCAACAGCACATAATAGTTTAATGAAATCAGATAATAATTTTGAAAAGTCTAGTCACAATATAGAAATAGATGAGGTATGTATTGGTATTAAACTATTAAAAAATTAGTTTTTTTTTCATTTTTTTGATTCTACAAATATATTCAAAAATATTTATAACCATTTATTTTTTGTTAAATATCTTTAAATAATTTATTTTTATTTGAAAAATAATAAATAGAATAAATATTGAACAGTATTTAATTCACATATTTGTTCTTATTAAATAATAAAATAATTCTAGGTACAGATGTTTTCAAGTTAGAGAGACTAAATAGTGATATCATCAGAAAATCATATATACATTTAAAGCTGATTAAGTTTTACGAGTTTGAACGGGCCATTGTTATTAATTTAACTCGATAATCAATTTTATATTTTCTTGTTTAAGATTGATTTATAAGACATTTAAGGGAAGTTTTATTTAGTATTTTCATCAATATAATATTATTAACATTTGATAAAATTATTCAAATTCAATTTTTATTCATATATTGTATTATAACATCTATTAACTATTTAAATAAATATTAAATTTGATTAAAAGTGTTGTCTTTAACATTAAAATGTATAAGGCACGCAAGTACTAATATCTGATACTAATATTTTAGTAATGGAAGCAATTCTTGCAATATAAAATCTATGTTGACAATACAGATTTAAATTTACATTGATTTAAATACAGTGTACATTTATACTGTGTCTCACAACTGTAAACCTTGGTTGAATCAATTTGTAGTTGTTTTCAAATGCATGTACTAATATCTAACATTAATTATTGAATGTTGGAAGCAATTCATGCAAAAAATGATCTAGTTTTTTGAAAAAATTTAATTTTATATTGTGTAAAATTATAATTTATCTCAACCTACAATGAAATTATAATTAATTTTATATAAAAAAAAAATATATGAAGTACAAATTAAATTATTTTTATATTTTTATTTTGTAGGTGTCTAGTACAACAGTTGATATAATTGATGATATGAATTTGACTCCACCAATCAATCAATTTAATCCATGCTTAAATACTTTTCTTCCAAAAACTGGACGGTTTTAGATATAATGCTTCTAAAAAAGGTGGTTTTTTTATTAAGCCTCGCTATTTTCTCTCAACTCGGTTTTTATTTTATGTATATACATATATATATCTGTGTGTGTATATATACATGTATACAAAATCTATACATGTTAAATAATTTTATACTTCGGTATTACTTAATTTGTACAAGGAACTATATGATTATTATATATATTTTTTTCACATGTATTTTGAACACTTTTATGATTTAGTTTTGTTTTATATTTATTTATTTTTTTTTCGTTGTGTAAACTTTTTAATACTTATTTCTATACATTTCTAAAAAAAAATATGATATTTTTTTGTTGAAATGTATTTTTTGCCTGTACAAGTTGATAATTCATGAACAAAAAAAAACATTTAATAAGTAGAATTTGTATTAAAAAAAAATTTTTAAATAAAAGTACTTATTGGAGAAAGAGAAATGATACATGTACAAAATTAAACATTAAAATTTCCTACCACCAAATTAATGTATAACGGGTTCGTACATTGTTCACAAATAACAGGTAACTAATTTATGCCAAAGTAAATGTTAATTCAATTATTTTCCTAACATCGTGAAAATAACACCTCTAATTAGATTTATATTTTTATTAGAATAAGTTTTAAATGTCTGTGTTAATTGCTTTCCAATTATTTATCTATTTGAAATGTATTGTTTTACTGTGTTATTATTAGATACTTAATAAATGTATAGCAATCGTTCATCAGGGTACTAATGATATTGAACTTGCTGTTACTTCTTTCACACTATTTTCAAAAAGCTAGCTAAGTTTCTGTATGGTAGATTTAAGTAGTTATATTTTTAATTATATTATTATATAACGGTTTAAAACTTTTAAGTACTCAAATTTGTATTAAATTAATTTATAGATCTTTGAATACCAATTTATAATTTGTAGTATATTACAAACATATAAACACAGTATATTGTATTCAATCGTTAAAATATTTTTTAAACAAACATTTATAATATATACTTGTCAAGTAATACAGTAATTATTAATACAAACAAAGAAACTATTACTAAAAGGACTTTTGAAAATTTTTTAACTATTTTGCGAACAATTAGTTCAACTTTACACTTGATCTACGTTGTTATATATGTATATTATTTATTTTTTATTATAATATTAAAAATATGTAAAACAAAATTGTATTTTTATTTACATCTGTTGAAGTATTATGTTTAGTGCACAATAGTTGAATATTATGTGATATTAATAAGTAATTTCACATATAATAGGTATGTAGATTTTTTGTTTACTGATTAGCAGTACTTGAATTAATTTACTTACAATAACCTAAACCATAGGCGTGTCTGTGGGGGAGGCAGGGTGGGCATAGGCCTCCTCAGCGACGTTCTTGGCCTCTTGGCTTATGATGGTGAAACCACGGATATATACATAGATTATATTATATATTTAGTATCTATATCCGTGGCTGAAACAGTAGGTAATTTTAGGTAGAACGTAAATTTAAATTTTAAATATATTGAATTTTATTATTTGTAATATTTTAACAAATTATTTGTTTAACCAAACTGGTAAATAACTGTTTATTGTGTAATAACTGTAATAAGACGTTTATAGAAGATTGATGTATAGTTGATAAAATATTTATAAAAAATAACTATAGTTATAAGTAGCAAATTAATTAATAGGCCCAAAGACGTGTCAAACATTTCAGCGCCCCGGGGCAAAATTTTTTCTACAGGGCCACTGGGTACAGGTAGTCAGTGCAGATAAGGGCGCCCCCTTACTTTTAAAAAACTACGGCGCCCGGGAGCAATTACCCCCTTTGACCCCCCCCCCCCCTTTAACACGGTTCTGAATAGGCTTTATTTATTAGTTCATAGTTGTAATAGCATAGGAAACCAGTTTTAAGATCAAGAAAATCTTTAATTTGGTGGGGTCAAAAAATTTCAGTTGCTATATAACTTCCACGCAACAAAAATAAGTTACAAATATAGATTATAGATCGCTGTAGTAATAAAAAAATTTAAATTTTATAACTGGCCTCCCCAGCCTTGGAAGTCTGGACACGCCTATGACCTAAACTAATGTATACGAAATAATTTGTGACAATTTGTATTGTAGTGAAACGGAACTAAATGAATATATATATTAAATCAGTTCTAAAAAAAATCTCGGGCAGGATAGTGTAATTTTACTGTATTCAATTTGAATGCGATTGTTGCATTCGATAAAAAACGTTTCTGAGCGGACGAGGGAATCTTTTATTTAATTTTAAGCGTTTAAGAATAGCTTAAGAACAATTTATATAATTATAATTAGGAAATATAAAAACTCAAAAGTCACTCAAATGTTTTGAAAATGTTACCATGTCTAGGTAAGGATAATATAAGTAAACAACCCAAATTTCAAATTTTTACGAATGTTTTTAACCGAATTATAACAAAAAAACTACCAAAATTAAAATGTCATTAAATAGCTCAAAAATGGCTAAAATTTTTCGAACTTAAAACCGTAAGGAACAAAATCCAAAATACAATAAAAAAGATCTCTTGTCATTTTTTATTTGAAGCAGTGCCGTATTTAATTAATATCCCGGCGCAAAAAAAAAAATTTTGGCGCCCCCCTCTATGGGGCCTACCCGCGGAAAATACAGGAGATAGATCCTCATGAACCTTTTAGATATTTTAAAATCAATGCTATTTTTGTGCAGTAGGCACGCCACCGCACACCGCACGAGATAACATAATACGCTGCAGTGGCGTATGTAATGAGGGGTGCCTAGTGGACTACAGCTCCCCCCAAATGTTTCAAAAAACTTAAAAATTATTTTAAACGTTTGTTATATTCAAGGGTGGATTGGCAATTATTTTCGGCCCAGGAAATATGAAACAAACCGGCCCATGAACCGCAAATTTAACTATTTTACCCCCATCCCCTCCCAAAAAAATGCTTTATTTTGCATCAATTTCAGTTCAAAATCATTCAATTTGTTTAGTTTCTAAATAAGTAAAATCTATAATAACTAACATAATTATAGCTATAATAGTTTTGGGCAAGTCACATGATTAATTAGTTCCAACTTGAACTTAAAGTTAGATCTTAATGCATTTTTAATTATATATTTATTTTTTTAATAATTTTTATTTATTCTACAAAATAGAATTTTTTTTTGGTGATTATTAATAATATAGAGCGGTCCAATAAGGACCGGCCCATCGGGAAGATTCCCGATTTCCCGATAGGCCAATCCGCCCCCGTAACATGTCATTTGATCCGATAAATAATATCCGGCGATAAAATAACCGGCATCAAAAATATCCCGTGATAACGATAACCGGCGATAATCAGTTTTCTGGTTTTCGTGTTGTATTTATATAACACACTACAAAACTTTAACACAACTTCAACACATTAACACCTGTAAGGTTTTATTAAACGTTTTTTGACATTATTTTTAATAAAATTAAATATGCCACTCGAATTTGTTATAAGTCAAAAAGGCCAAAAACTTTTATTATTAAATGGATATTTACATAACATACATCAAAAATACGATGAAAAAATTGTGTGACGTTGCACGGAGTACAAGAAATTTTCTTGTAAAGGCCAATGTCATACTACAACAGACAGTGAATTAGGTATTATAATATTATTTTTAATTAAATTCAATTATATATGAATGCAACGTACGAAATTATTATTTACGCGCTGTAGTACGCGCTTAACCGGGTTGCATTTATTTTATTCAATTGTATTTCAATAATTCATTAAAATGTTTTAAGGTTCTCAATATATGGTTCAATGCTTATTATTAAGAGTTAATTATATAATAAATAAATAAATTATAATTTTATAATACGAGAACAATTTATTCATAGCATATTTTTTTATAAAAATAGTCCAGTAGACATATATATATATATAATTTTTGAATTTTTTTCAGAACATTTTTTAAGATTTTTAAGACATTAAAATTCCAGCCTTACTTTATACTTATCACGTATTACATAATACAATATAACAAAAAGTTTCTTTAATGTGGTTTTTATTATATACCTATATATTTTGTTGTATGTTATTAAAATATATACACTAAACAATCTTTTAGAAATAAGAATTATAAATATTATTGCATGAGTATCAGTAAAACATGTATTGATCAATTACAAATAATATCAAATTAATAGAATAAATATCAGGGGCGTATTTATGGGGGGCCGAGGGGGCCCCCTCCGAAATGAAAAACATCATTGTTAAAGATTGTTATTTTTAACATGAAAATATCTTAATGCTGGAAGTTTCCGAAAATTTGTCCCAACACTGAGAATGTTGCTTATATGGTAATTTAAAATTTTATAACTATAAAATATGTTTATTCTTTTAGGAAAATATTTGGTGAATTTTGAGTGACTCTAATAAAAAATTCGTTTATTACAATATAGTTTTTATAATTTTAAAAAATAATAAATCATTAAAAAAATTGAGTTTCTTATTTCTCTGATGATGTAAAGACAGTCGAGAAGACTTATAGTAATTTTTTTCGTAATAGTGTGCTTCCTCCTTCCCTTCCACCCAAAAATCAAATACATAATCGGCCCCCTCCAAAATGAAAACCTTTATACTGATAAATATTATTGTCTTATTTCGTTTTTTCAATGACTTAATTAAGTATACAATTAAGACATATTTAATATAATATAAAATGTTCTTTATTTCTTTATTTTGCACTTTTGAGCAGTTATAAAATAATTTGGGTCGATGATATCGCTTGTCAAAAAACGTTTGCCAAACTGTGTGTCAACAATCTCCAGTAATAAACATTCGTTATAAAACCTGTATAATATATATAATATGTAATAAATTATATAAAGGACGTGTAATATATACAGTGGGTTTCGCTTAATGTGATCACTGGTTTATAGAATCAACCAATTATTAGAATCAAAAATGAAAATCCCAAACCAAATTGTATGATACTAATGTTAAATTGACCTTTTATTAGAATAACTAGGTACCGGATAATTGAATCTCTTTTATGAAAAATCTTATCGTTTTTAATGTATTTCAAACTGATCAATTTATAAAACCCATTTTATTTTTGAACTTATCAGTATGACAGTATATCGTTGTACGTTGAATTATGTCATTCAATTTGTGCGTCGTGTACTTGTGTCATTTAGTTAATTCAGTTCATGATCAGACGTGTTTTTTGAAATGTCGAC